TTTTTGAGGTGAGGGTTGTCTTTGTGACGCGGCGTAGTGTTTGAAACATGCGGGCGTTGATGAGGTGATTTGGGGGAGTTGAGTTGCTGATCGGGGACACCGGTGTGGCTTGGGGCTAGAAGATGACCGTTTTGACTAAAGGTTTCTATTCTTGTTCTTTTGCGTCTGGTATAGCTGTAGGAAAGTGGAACCGGACGCCTGGGGAACTGTTGTCACTTTGTGAAGGTAGCTCTGCTGCGCGGCGGAGACGGATCGGGGGTTGATGGTGTTTGGTGGCGAGAATCTCGGCGCGGAGGGACCGGGGTGCGATTTTGGTCGGGGCGGGTGGTTGCGGGGTCCGGGGAGGTGGGGCGCGGAGGTGCCGGCGGGATGGTGGCGACAATGCAGGTAGTGGAGATTGTTTAGTTCGTCCATGATATCCGCGTGGGTTTTGAGCAACGGGCACCTTTTCTTCTTCGGTAAGATGAGATATCAGAAGCCCTCTGTATTGGAATGCGGTTGAGTGGATCATGTTTCATGGTACCTAGGCGTCGTGAGAGCCGCTGCGGCTTGCACCTCCGAGGGGCTGGTCCGGTTTCCATGCGGCAAGGTATGTAAGCACCTTGTATAAAGAGCAGGTTTTCGATGGCTTGATGTTTCCGGGAGCACAGCAGTGAGCCAGAAAGTTCGTCTTGACTTACGTTATAGACCTCAGCTAAGGTGAAGTGACAGTGGAGAAACGCAGACTTAGGATGCTACAGGCAAGACGCAACAAACAAGACCCAAGCGCAAGAAGCGAGGTAGTATCATCCCGATATTGAGCAAGGTCTCTCATCTATCTTATATTCACACACAAATATACAATAGACGGGAAAGCGTATATAGTGACGGGTAAAGCTTTGGGATATAGTTTGGAATAGGATGAGGTATGCTACTGGCTAGGAGCCCTAGGTGTTCAGTACCTACGGCTGGCTACCTGGTGGTTTGAGAGAACGATGGCGACCTTGCGATGGCGTCCTTTAACTTGTGGAAGCCTAGACTTAGTTGACCAAAGACGTAAGTGCTATGTCCGTGGGGTTTTATAGAGGCTTGCCGCATTGACGCTCTTTCCAGCTGGGCAGGTTCGGGGTGTGCCTGCCTTCCGACAATTTCTTTTACCCCCGCGTGGAATTCTGAAATTGAGGAAGAGACAGGACAGCTTAAGTTTCAAGATTCTATAAAGATGCGATACCGTGCTCATCAGACTTGGGGCCGGCAGTTGTTCTTGCTGTTGTGATTGTTGTTGTCCATGGTGAGTATGGGTCCAAGTAGGGTGAGAAGAGAAGGAAGATGGCCAGTGATTAGGGAGCCGGAGCAGTCAATCTCTTTAGGAACTCGGGAACGGATGTACGGTAGATACTTCAACATAGAAACCCTCCCCTTATTAAGTAGCCCTCTGCTACGTATTGAGCTCGAATATACAAAGACGCGTGAAAGGTAGTGGTGCAGCGGGGGAATCATGCTTACGTGGCATGATGTTGAATGCCTCTATCCTTTGTACTTTACTTAGAGGTTCCTTTAAAGCTTACCTTCGGACTCCGGTTCTTCTCGCCTCGATCTTGGTCCTTTCTAGAAACGACCGAAGCGTGTGCGTGCTTGTTTATAAAAGTTCCGGGGCCTTTCCTTCAACCCCATCGGTCTCCTGTCATGCCCGATGAAGCACCACTGAAAGCTTAGGGTAGCTTGTCTATGGTTAAGGTTGGTTGCAGAACAATGGCACTCGCAGTAGAACGGTGGGCTGAAGAGTGCACTATGTTACATCCTGAAGAGATGTATAGATTCACTCGTATCTTATCATAGATAAGTACGCAATACTGAGTTGGGATCGAGGACATGAACTTGCATGGTGAAGTTGAATATTCCCCTCTTGCGATCTTTCTCAATTGCTGATACCATCCGCGGCCTCAGGGGACCTAAAGATGATACGTCCGATTACCCCAGGCAAGTACCTTACTTTTGAACGCCGCAAACCTCTTTCTTTTCCATATCCATGTGAGTGCTCTCTTTTAAGCCAAGTACCACATTACTCTGACCCCTTTTCCCACCATCACATGAGGAGTCCATATCCATCGTGACGAAGCTTCAAGTCTGAAGAACGCTAAAATACCACATCGTTCCCTGGCCAGAGAACGTCGTACCCTGCTCCTTCATCCAAGTTGATTGACCCACCCATCACCGCCAAATTAGCGGGATCAGAAAAGTTCATGTCCGCCGGCCCGATGAACTGCCCCAGGTCATCTAGATCTCGCCACGAGAAGCCTCTGACGAGAAGGTCAGGCTGATGCGGGAAGGCAGCCATGTTAGAGTGCGCGTGGCCATGCGACATTCCGAAGCCTTGGTGATGATGCTCAGCGTGTCCGCCGCCAAGACCTCCATAACCATTGTTATTGGCGTTGGTCGAACTCGGTACAGTCGGTACATGCACCGAGACAGACCCAGGACCTGCTCCGTTGTGGAGACCGAACGCTGGACACGGCACGCCACCGTTGGTGGCATCGACTGCGTGGCCGTCTGGACCTGAGATGGTTACGTTGGACTGTAGGGTGGATTGATTCCGTTGCTGTTGTTCCTCTGGCTTGCTGCGCCAAAGAAGGGATAATAGCCGTGCATAGCGCTGGCCTAAGCTGTGTGGACTGAGGGATGAGCGTTGGAGGGCTTCGATCGTGACGTTTATGGAGCGGCGGACGCTTTCTGAGGCTTCGCTGCCTAGGGCACCCGCAAGACGAGCCTGTGTGGGGCAGTTAGCAAGATGTGTGAGGGGTAGAGGGCATGTGGTTGAGTGAGATCGCCGTACCTTGAACAGAAACACGGCCGCGTAAATTACGTAGAGGTAGTATTTGAGCGGCATATACCTCAACCCTGTTGCCGGATCGACAGAAGAGTTGAGGATGTTGAGCAACGAATTTGCGGCGTCCATGGATTCGTATATGAAGCGGGCGTCGGGCGTGCTAGCTAGGTCTGCGAAGAGGGGGCTAATCGTTGCCGTTGGCGGCGGTGGTGGCGGGTGTCTTGCTAGCGCGTGCGAACCTGTCGTTGTCTCGTGTCCGTTGTACTGCTGAGTCTGGTCTTTTGAGAACTTATTCTGTTGGCTCTGTTGGTATTGTTGGTTTTGCTGGATGTGTTGCTGCTGCTGTTGGCGGGCTTTGGTTATTGCGCGGTTGATTGTTGCTTGGAAGGCGAAGGCGTTGATGTAGAGACGAAGGAATTCGTAGGAGAGGTTGAGACCTGCTTTTATCAATGGGGTGACTGGAGATTGAGTGATTAGTTGAGCTTGTCCAAAGGTGCGTTTGCAAGAGAGACTTACAATTGAGACTTCCCCAGACGATCTTCCATTTACGAAGTACTGCGAATGAGTCGTCCTATCGTTGTAAGCCGATGAATGTCAAGAGAGTTGATACCCGAAATAGATGAACTACGACCGAGTGGAAAGACAGACGGAGGCACTCGACTTACTATATACCTCACGTACTCCCCACCGAGGTACAGCTGAGCTCTATGACTTGACGATGAGTATAGTATGTCATGAGCGTTGCTGAAGAGCTGTATCAACTCGAGCTGAGCCTGAAACAGCTGCCCGAGGTTATCAACACCAGCTTCCTGTATCCTCAGGGACGGGAAGTCTGCAGAGCGTGGTATCGTAGACGGACCCGGTCCGCGGGACCAGAAGCCTTTGCCTACGCGGATCGATACTTCTCTATCGCTCATATAGCAGGCTGAGAACCAAAGGCGAAAAACGTTAGTACGAACCGTCCAAGACTTGTCTCCAAGGAAAGACTTACCAGCCCAAACCAACCTCTTCCTCCGAAACGTTTCCGACGACGGGCTGGTCTTATCCGACAGCAACCCCGTCTGCTCCAAACTCTGCAGGTACCCTAACCGTATCGCGACGCCAATCTGCATCCACGCGCCCTCGTCTTCCTCGCCGCGCCCGATTGTCGGCTTCTCCTGGAGTCTCTGCGGCGCCCACTGCGCGAGAATTAGTAGTGCCTCGACGGCGCCGACGGCGGTGGACCCTTTGTAGATGAGCTTGGAGATGAGGGTCTCCATGTAGCGGGAGCAGGCCTCATGGACGCGAGACATGGAGGGCTCGTCTTTAGAGGCTACTGTGAAGATTGCGGTGACGAGGTGGGGTTCCGAGTCGATGAGGGAGGCGACTGTGGCGGGGGTGTGGGTGAGGATGCATTTGTCTGCTACGGGGAAGAAGGGGTGGAAGTGGTCAATGTATCTGGATATGATTAGCCCTACTTCGGAGGTACCTTGGAGGGGATTGTGTGAGTGAGTGGTGACCTACAATGTGAGCAGACGTGAAGCGACAGGTAGACTTAGCACCCCATCTGAGATGGGCGGGTAATGAGTTGCCGCAGGTGTAGATGGCTTGCGTGACCCTTTCCTGGGACTGCATTTATCCCGGCCTGTAGCATCGCTCACAGACAGATGTCGCATATCGTCACGCCGTTCCTCCCCGTCGAGATCAGCAACCTGCGCCAGGAGGTTCAGAGCGTCAGAAGGGTTCAACAAGTCGCTCGAGGTGATGTGGCCCTCGATATCGCCGGAGCTCTTCAGGGACCGGGTCGACTGGCCGCCGGGGCTGTCCGGCTGAGAAGTGGAGCCGGGCCAACTCGCCGGCCTTCCTGCCGGGCCGTCGTCGTCCTCGTCGGGGGAGCACGACCAGTGCTCGTCACCGTCGTTGTGGTGCCGGGAATCCGCCGGACTGGTGGAGCGCTGGTGGTGCATATGCTGGTCTTCTCGGAGGTTCGTCGTCGAGGAAGTGCCGACGTCACCACCTCCGGGTCCCGAGTCATAGACCGCCGGCCCTGTGACGGCATCCGGGTGCTGCTGCTGTTGTTGCTGTTGCAGGAAGGCTGCGGCATCGCCCTCACTCTGTGGTAAGCGGACAAACTTGCGGGGACGTCGACCTCCTCTTCTCGACGTTGCTAAGACGCATTCTTTTTGTTCTCTTACACAGCGACGGCAGGGTGGTATGCCTGGGTTACCACCGTAATCTCTACACAAGGGGGTAACGATGTGGTGTTAGTCAAAGATGAGCTGGGTCTTGGCAGGCGTTTCTCATGAGTTTCCAACCAATCACTCAAGTCTTTAGCCGATTCCCGGTCTGTATGCCGTTGGGTGTTGGTGTACATGTGTGTTCAAGGGTATAACTCATGTGAGAAGGGGTCATCGGTATGAAGAAGGTGCTCACAAGTCACATCTCGTCTTCCTGAGCCGGCAGGAGACGCAAGCTCGCGATACCCGCCTTTCCTTTCCAGTAGCCGTGACCGCGTGAGGCAGGCGGTGGTGCCGCGGGGGACTGACCATCGTCGTGGAAGGCCGGCGGTCGGTGACGGGGCCGACGGCAGCGGTGTCCACAGACATGGTGTTGCGATTATTACGTCGGCGACTCGGTGTGCTCGGTTTCTCTTCGTCGGCCCAAGCGTGTGGGCGTGAGGGGGCGGCGGCGGCAGCGGCAGCGCGCGGTGAATGTCGGGCCAACGCGGCGGTTGGTGATGGACCGATGGTATTTGGACTGAGTGGAGCACAACTGAGGGGGGACTCTGGAGGCGTGAGAGCCCGGATGCAAAGGGGGTAAAGAGAGCATCGGCACGGCAATCCAGGGCTAGTCTTCCGTCATCCACGGAAGTACGGCAATGTGGCTGGCTTGTTTCGGCGATAGTTGGGGGGGTTTTTAATGTTTTTTGTCTAGCGGTGGTATTGTCGGTGTAAAATCGATGCATGACGCACCTTTTGGTGCTGAAGGTTTACGCACTCCCTGTTTTGCGACCACAAAAGACTTCACAATGTATACTTTTTAGGAGTAGGGTATAACTCGCAGGTATTACCGATCGAGAGCTAGCTCGTCCCAAATTCCCCTCTTCCTTTGAAGTTTAAGTTTACGGCGGCGCGACAAGAAAAAAAAACGGTAAGGAGTACTTGACAGCACTCTGTAATCTGTACTATCCGTACTAGTATAGTAGTAGCTGCTTAGGATTTTGGACACTGTTGAACTTTCTACAAGGTTGGTCTCAACATCCATGTCCAATCGCGTGGAGATCACCAAGAATATGAAAGCTCCTGCTCGTCATCTGCGACGAAGCAGAAAAGATTCCATTTTCCTTTCCACACAGTAATATTCCATTCGGCAAAGAATCTCTAATTCACCTTGGTGGGTAGAAAAGGTCTCGGAGTCTCCTCCTCTGATTCGGCACTCATTTCAACCCGCCGGCGAGGACCAGCTCTTGGCCAGTAAAGTAACCAGTCTTGACAAACCTGGGGGCGGACGGCGATCACGGGTCAGCAAATTGTCAAAAAGAGTACCACAATAGTTCCCGCCGGTCAGTTCGGTAACTTACATTACGACAACGTTTGACACTTCCTCTGGAGCCCCTAATCTGTGGACCGGGACGCTGGCGGCAATGGCCAGCCCCGGATCTGTTGACCTCAACTCCTCAAGGTCATCTTTACTATCCCAGGTTCTATAGGGCACTCATGTCAGTTAAAGTCAAGTCGGGACTATACCATGACGGGGTTCTGCTGCTCACGTTGACTTCGGAGTGGCAATCATGCCAGTGGCCCCAATCATGGCGGGCAGAACCTGAAAAGCAACGTCAGCACAGCTCAAACAGCAGACTACACTCCACGAGGCCCTCGACCCGAAAACTAGAGGAATTTTGAGGCTTACAATATTCACGGTAACACCCTCCGGCGCCAAGAACGTGGCCAAATTAAGACCCATTGAGCTGCGGCTTAGAGTTAGACAAGCTTCGGCCCCCAACTCTCGGTCTCGCCGTAAACGAAAACCCCTCCCAAAACCGGGACATCCCGCCGGGAAAGTGATGAAGATAGATATACGAGTATGCCAAGTGCGGATAGACATAGCTCAAAAGGAAGGAAGGAAGAAAAGCACCTAGAAAACTCACCAGAGAGCACCCTTGGTAGCGGCGTAGTGGCACCCGTTGATCCCCCCACCGCGGCTCGCGATGCTGCCCACGAGAACGACACGGCCCCACCCCTGGGAGCGCATGCCGGGCAGGCAGGCCTTTGTCACGACAAACTGGCTGCGGGCGTTGACCTCCATCATCTCGTCCCAGTCATCCTCGCCAATGTCCTCCGGGTCACGGATACGGCGCCCGAGCCCGGCGTTGGCGACGAGCACTGAGACGGCCTTGTGCTTCTGTGCGATCTCGCCGTTGGCGAATATGCTGGGCACTAGATTCCGGGTCGACTCTCTGGAGGAGAGGTCGGCCTGGAAGGGTACGAAGAGCTGCGATGGATACTTATCACGCAGCTCTTGTGCTAAAGCATCTGCTTTGGCCTGTTGTTAAGTGTTAATATACCGAAGAGATTAGGCCCGTGGTTCGAGAGTGGCTCGACGGGCCGCAGCCCCGTACGGTTCCCCGTGCACCCCCATCTGTCATCGGTGATGCCGTACCTGGCTTGATGAATAGTGTAGTGCGACATCGCAGCCCTCTGCGGCAAGAGCATGGGCAACGGATGAGCCTATGCCACCACTGATCGTCCGTGAAGATTATCTGGTCAGCGGGAACATACGATGACAGCCTCACTAGGGGTCCAGGTGGGATGGCCACTTACCTCGCCCCTGTTACTAGAGCTAGGCGGCCTTGGGTGGTGTTGTCCGTGCTTCTAATGCTGTATTGGACCATCTTGACAGTTGGACCCTTGCAGACCTGCGGACGGTTCGTAACTTCGTATGCACCTTGGTGAATGATGATAGGTAGGTAACAAAGCACGGGCTATTCCCGTTTAAAAGGTACTCGTCGGCTCCTGTTTGGACTGGGATATCTGGTGTATTCCCTGGGTACAGAGGTAGATATCCGAAGGTTTAGATGAGTTGGTTCATAAAGTCGATTGAGAGGGCTCTCAGTGAGGGGTTGGGGGAAGGCGGCGGATCGAAGGCCGAGCTTGAATAGCCGAGAAGTTCAATTGCCGCCGCTATCGGTGGCAGTTAACTGGAGCATGAATCGCGGAGACACAACATGGCGCACCATCGTGCGTATTTCTCTCGCGTAAATCGCATGGCAAAGGCGCCCTTTTCTAGTACGGATACGGGACACTATTTGGTGGCTACTGCAAGGTAATTGAGAGCATCGGCAAACGAACATTGAACAGCTGACCTAGATCTCGTGTTGTCAATTGCCGACTCTCAATTCTTTGATCATTGGCGATTGCCGACTTTCAAGTCGTGACGCGGATGATGGGTCAATATGAAGCCATAATGCGTACCCAAAAAGTCCAAACTTTCAGTAGCCGACGCGTCTCAGCAGCAGAAACTCTGCCAGCATCGGGTATCTAGGAATCAAACACCTAATGCTTGCGTGTCAACATCTGAATAGCCGTCCGATGAAGCCAGTTGCCAGAAAAAAGTTTGACGCGATTGGTCTCAAGATGGCTGACGGCTCAGACGGCATTGGACTTCTCCCTCTTCCCGCAGTGAAACCCCAAACCCCCCGCAGATGTGCTTTACCCCGTGTCGTGTGGATTCCCGGGGAAGTGGTTCTAACCACGTCGATCTTGATACTTGGCGTACGATCACGAACTGTCTGATTGTTTTGTCAAATTGTGTCCATGTCTTTATAAACGTTCGCAAAGGACGTTCGGACGACAGCTTTCGTGGGGAAGCAGGCGTCTCTTGTGCTTACCGCACGTTCTTTGTGTAAAAGCAGATTATCTTCTAAGCCACGTATCTTTTCAGACTTCACAACCACCAGATTCCACCCAAAAGATGGGCGAACTTCGAGGGCAGCGGCTAGTGTTGGCCGTCAGTGTTCTCACATCGTTGGGTTTCATGCTCATTGGCTATGACAATGGTCTTATGGGAGGCCTGGGTAGGTCGTCTCTACAACGAGTTGCCAAGAGTTGGATCACTTTCTAACAGTTCTCTTTAGTCAATGCACCGGCATTCAACTCAACGTTCGACACTCCGGATCCGACCATGACAGGCCTCATTGTGGCAATCTACGAAGGCAAGTCGAGTTGATGACGGAACTTGAAGTCTATAATTGTGGTCAGCTGACTCTGGTATCTCTACCTTAGTTGGCTGTTTCTTCGGATGTGTAGCCACGGCGATATTCGGCGAGAAGTATGGCCGCCGAAGAACCATCGGAACTGGTTGCTCTATCATGGTCGTTGGTGCTATCATTCAGGCCGCTTCGTATGGACGTGCCCAGATGATTGTCGGGCGAATTGTCTCGGGTATCGGAATGGGCATCGTCAACTCTACCGTTCCCGTCTTACAGGCGGAGTTCAGCCCCAAGGCAAGCCGAGGCATTTGTAAGTTGGATACCATCGGTGCAATTGAAGTTTCCAAGAGTCTCGACCGATTTTGGGGTCTGGAAATTGCGTAGACCTCCGCTGACGCCAAGAATTACAGACGTCTGCGCACAACTTTCTACCCTGAACTTTGGAATCTTCCTCATTTACTGGATCGACTATGCTTTTTCGTCACACATCGAAAGCTACGCCTGGAGAGTCCCGGTTGCTATGCAGTGCATATGCATCCTGCCAATGTTCATCATCCTGCAGCTCATCCCAGAGACCCCTCGATGGCTCGCATCACACAATCGGCAAGATGAATGCCTGGCCGTCCTGAAGCGCCTCAAGTGTGACGAAGACGAGGAAACAATTTATGCCCTCCACAACTCCATCACGCAGACAGTATCGTACGAGGCCGAGAATAGCGCCAGTTCGTGGCGAGACCTCTTGCTCCAAGATCGTATTCAGAGCCAGAGGAGATTCCTCATTGCGTGTTTCTTGCAAGGCGCACAGCAGCTCGGGGGAATCAATGCTATCATCTGTGAGTTGCATTCATAACCAGAATCGTTGCTTTCTCTTTGTATCAAGGTACCTAACGGGTGTCCCTGCTCAAGACTACAGCGGTACCTTATTTGAGAAGAGTATCGGATTCGATAGTCACATGTCGAGCCTCATGTCTGGCTTCCTGCAGACTTGGTTCTTCGTCGCCTCCTTTATTCCCTGGTTCTTAATCGACCGCGTGGGCAGGCGACCCTTGGTAAATACCCATCCCCTTTCATCTCCCCAAAGCTTGGTGGAAAAAAGTCAAATTAACGAGGTATGCCAGCTCTTGTCCATGATTAGCGTCATGGCAGCCGTCATGGCAGTCCAAGCAGCTCTCATCTACCAGGTCCAAAACTCAACCGCCATTGCCAAATCTGCCGGCATTGGCGCTGCAGCGATGCTGTTCGTGTTCCAAGGCGCCTTCACGATTGGCTTCCAAGCAACTGTCTGGGTTTATCCGTAAGTTTCTTCTGATTCTTCTGCCCTCCGTGTGGAGTCTTTGCGCTAACTGCCGTGCTCGTACAGCTCCGAGATTTTGCCTCTGCGTATTCGGCAGCTGGGCTCGTCTATTTCCAGTGCAACCAACTGGATTTTCAACTACGTGAGTTACCTGCTGGTAAAATGATGTACCTGTGCAGCTACTGATCGTTTCAATTTGTAGATGGTTGTTCAAATCACCCCAATCTCCATCTCGAGTATTGGGTGGCGGACTTACATCATCTTTGCGGTCTTGAACGCCGCATGGGTGCCCGTCATCTACCTCTTCTTCCCTGAGACCAAAGGATTGGAGCTGGAAGATGTTGATCGTCTCTTTGCTGGCGATGACTTTGAGAACACGAACCATGACACAGATAGCAAGCACGAAGTCTGGGATATCGAAGAAGTCAGGGCTTAGTTATGGTTGCTGCTGGGCCAAGACTCAAGGCACAGATTGGAAGCCATTGCGGCAAAAAGGGACATTGAACTTGGGTGTACTGAATGATACTGATTGTAGATTATTCGCGTGAGTATGAGCAGAAAATACAAATCAATAATCTGCGGCATCATACCTCCCTATGTCAGCAGCCCTATGGCAGTTGGACTGGCACGGATAAGACCATCCAATTCTATGAGGCGGACTCAACACCACATCTTTGTTATTCAGCTAGCTAGAAGAACCTCCTGTAGATAAACCTGAAATTTAGCAAGTTCTTCGAGTACTAAGAAATCCAATTGAAATCAAAATTCGTGGATACTCTTCGACTTCACTTCATGAAAGACTCAAACTTCCCACGACTTCGACGCCCAACTTGGTGATGTTGACTAGACTGTAACTAGCGTGGTAATACTCTACAGCAGCCAGACGGTCTCCGGGGGAAATGACATCAAGTTGTCTCACAATTTTTTGAGCTGAAGAACACGATAAAAAGCTGTATCCTCTCATTGCTGTGTGAAAGTCGACCCGTGACTATGCACGTGAGGGAAACGCAGCTCTCGAAGCATTTGCCGAACGTACGCCGAACACTGGCCACAGACCCACGAACTCTATCCTGTGACAGGAACAGGTGCATCGTGCCCGCAATCGTGCCCCGCATCCGTGCGACCTGGAGACACAAAAACGCCCCAACTGATACTCGTCAACCGCCGTGCAACTGTTCAACGTCGACGCCAAGGATTCTCACAGTACTTCTCGAAGAACCTTCTTGGCAAAAAAATACGACTCTGACTGTCTTAATCAGGTAACTGAGCCTCGTTTGTAGCCCTCACAATGGCCAACTTCGTTGTCTACGACGACCGAGTCAAGACGCTGTTCGGCTCCGCACCGTCGCTTGAGCTGTTGCACGAGAACCAGGACTATCCTTTCGCTCACGAGGCAGGCGTCTTCATCGAGCGCAACAACACGCTCTTCATCACTAGCAATCAATACAATGACCATGCGGCCGGCGGTCGCAAAATACAGATTAACCGCGTCACGCTATCGTCCGACGGGAGTTCCAAGACGAAGTGTGAAGAGATCAACCCCGCCATCATAACCATGGCCAACGGAGGCGTCAACTACCTCGACGGAATCGTCTTCTGCGCCCAGGGCACGCACTCCGCGCCTGGAGGCCTGGTTTTTATGGAAGCGGAACCGCCTTACCAGACGCGGATGATGGTCAACTCGTTCCACGGTCGGGAGTTCAACTCTGTCAACGACGTTGTGGGACACAGTGACGGCTCTCTGTGGTTCACTGACCCGATCTATGGCTATGAGCAGGGTATCCGGCCGAAGCCGAAACTTCCCAACCAAGTTTACAGATATGATCCCATCCGTGGCTCTATTAGGGCCATGGCTGATGGCTTTGGCCGGCCGAATGGTATCTGCTTCAGCCCCGATGAGAAGACTGTCTACATCACAGACACCGACTGGATTCATGGCGACGGTTCGACTGATCTTACACGAGCGTCAACAATGTGAGTTCTCATGGCGCGGGTTTACAAGTTTCGTTTCGTCACCTGTATAAGGGTCAGTGAACTGATGATTGGTAGCTACGCATTCGATGTGGTCCCTTATTCAGGGGAACCCTTCCTGACAAATAGACGTCTCTTTGCCATGGCTGACACCGGCATCCCAGATGGAATCAAGTGCGACGTGCGTGGGAACGTTTACAGCGGCTGTGGTGACGGGGTCAATATTTGGTCTGCAGGGGGTGTCTTGCTTGGAAAGATTCTTGTTCAGGGTGGTGCTGCCAACTTCTGCTTCGGCCGCAATGGAGAGATCTTCATCTTGAATGAGAACCGATTGTGGAGAGCCAAGTTGGCGGATGACACCAAGGGGGCATTATTGTGTATCTAAGCATAAGTACATGTAAGCATGAGACTGATTTCTGAGAAGCTGCTCTACGTCGAACGGCATTTGCGAAGTGCTTAACACGACCGTCACTATCAAAAAGTGGTGACCCCTACTACTTCTTCTGTTCTAAAAGCCACTGAACACCCTTAATTGTGTCTTCCACAAACGTCTTGCTTTTATCCAGGAGTGGCCAATTGGTCCAAAAGTAGTGAGGAAGTCCAGTGTAGATATCAAGCTTCGTCTTGACACCAGCTTCTTCTCTCAGCACCCGCTCATAAATGAGGCCCTCGTCTCGAAAGGGGTCCAACCCAGCCAGCTGGAAGTATGCAGGTGGCAATCCCCTGTGACCTTGACCGATCTTTCCATAGTGGAACGGAATGAATAGAGGACTCTCCAGGTCGGGCTGGATAATAGCACGCAGTGCCGCTTCCCCATCGCCGATACTGGTACCAATGACCGGGTCTTTGCACGGCGTGACGGCGGGGTGGCTGAGATACTCGGAACGGTATTGCTCAGGCAAGGATTCGGGGCGCGCGAGGCACATGATGGCTGGGACGCAGAGATATTGCCCCGTGAGCGGCGGGGAGAGACTGTTATCCCGGGCAAGGTGGGCGAGGACGGCTGTGATGTTTCCGCCGGCGGAGCCGCCGCCAATAATGAAGCCTTGGGATGGGTCTGCGCCTAAATCGGTTGCGTTCTTGGCTACCTGATGCATGATACTTGGTCAGTCACGGTCAAATCGCGGAGACGGCACAAGTCAGTCACCCATTGCAAAGCATCCCAGCTGTCGTTGACGCCAGTCGGGAAGGGAAACTCGGGAGCGAGCCTGCTCTACGTCAATGTTGTTACCAAGCCCGAAGCTGGAGTTATCAGCTTACCGATACTCGACGTTGACGCAGACTGCACCGAGGTCCCTACTGAACAGGCGACAGTTGACCTCTTCATCAGAGAGGTCCCCCATGCACCATCCACCCTCATGATACATGACAATGAGCGGGCTGCCTTCAGATGGGGTCTTTTCAGGGCTGTAGATTCGAACGGTGATTGCATGGCCGTCTCTCATGGTGACTTTGCGGTCTTCCTCGCGGACCTGATGTGGGATGGGACCGGGAAGGTAGCGCAGGTGATGGGACTCACGCAAGCGCGCCGCTCGGTGTTCTCTCATAGCTAAGAAGTCATTTCGTCCAAAGTAAGGGTCTCCGCGCTGCGGGTCCCGGAGAGGCCTGGTGGCGAGTTCCTGGCGGAGGAGAGGTGTTGTCAGCGTCTACCTTAGACATGACGGGAGAGGTCAATGAGGTGCGAGGTGAACCTACGGCCTCGATGAGAGGGTCGACAATGCCATAGGCGAGGAGTTCTCCACGAGTTCGCGGTGCCATTTTCTTTAGCCTTGTTGAAGTCAGTTCAAGGCAAGTGGGCTCAATGTGTCTTCAGGTGAACTTTTGTGGTTGTGCGGGGGTGTAAGCTGACGGGGCCTGTTGGAGACGTTGGAAACTTCAACGCTAAGGTTTGGAAGGATCTCAGATTATCTAATCAGTATTCAGATCGAACACGATACAATAACTAATCTGGGGCATTGAATCGAAGTACAGCTGAAAGGATCTTAGTTGATGCAAGTATACCCGGGGGAGTTTATGGCGCTTTACCTGGAATGCGGTCCGATGTCCATGTAGTGTAGTCGGACAGAAGGCGTCTTGGGTGCCTGACCAAGCCTACACCAAGTTGCTTCAGAGACATGAAGCGATGGAGAAAAGTACACTCAGAGGGAAGTATGTGGTATAGAACACATCTTAATCCGGTTTCTTTGAACATGAAATCGATCCAGACTGGAGCAACTAGGGTAGAACCTGGAACCCTTTTGTCTCAACAACCTGGAATCCACGACAATGACTGGCGCATCAAAATATTTACAAAATATTGAAAAGAATAGCGGGCGTCTGTTGGTGTTATGCTTCAGACTCGGGAAGACGTCCAACACTATTGACCATAGCGAATGGGATTGTCATTAAATTCTCGGCCCCCGACGCCTCTGAGCGAGTGTTTAAGAAACAAGGAGCTTGGACTCACCAAGGGAACGGCCAAAGACAACATTGACCGAGCCGACCACACCGATTAATTGGCTGACATGCGACAAGGCGACAGGTTGCCTTGCCAAGCCCTAGATGAAAGAAACTCAGAGTTCACGCGGCGCGCCACCGCGCACGCGTGATGTACTAGATACCCTTACTAGAAGAGTCGGTAGCCTACACACCTGTCCTTTGAAGCCAATAGAAGGAAGAGCCGATAGGGCAGCAGAAGTCTAGCTCTATGCTCTGCTGCACTTTGCCGCCGTGAGGAACGTCATTTCCGATGAACTCAAAAGCTGGGAAAAGGTGGGACATGTGTAAGAGTCTCTAGAAAGCTAGTGTCGAAGGGCTTGTTTTCGTGAAACTCAATTCTCAAGTCAAGAAATTTGAAGCTTGTAGTAGAATTCAATGATTGTTCCGTATACTGGTTGTAGATTCGGAAGTTTTGAACACTGCGTCCGCCAGTGCGGCCGTGATCTCAGTGGCATTTCCTTTCCTCACAAGTCCTAACTCCCCCTGTTACCACTTGGAAATACTGAAATGTAGTAATAGATGACTCACTAGGGGGTCCGTCATATCAGCACGACAAATCTACATGTATTAATGGCGCCTCCGTGAGGTCCGTCGGAAGCATGTTGGGGCTACTGGCTGAAGGGAACCCTGTCCACGATGCGACGTATCCCCTGCATCCTACCACACCTTCACGAAGGCACGGCTAGGCAGAGACTTTGATCGCTCTGCATTGCACGATGCGGTCAAGACGAAAGCTGATTAAATGAAAACAATTCACTCAAGAATCAAAAGAACATACTGTCACTAAGGCTTTGAAAATGCCGATACCAGGGCTTTTGATGTTGTTGTTATCATGAATTACTGAATAGTTTTCGAATCAAAATTTGGAGCCCCAGAGATCCAACCATCTTGTCACGGTTTCGTATGGAATTTTCAGAGTCAACTGAGAAATTAGAAAACAGCGCCTCGCACTCGCTTGTCTTCTGCTCCATGTTTTCTACCCATCTTCATCCTGTGGCTCACGAGTAATTAATAGGATACGCCGACCTCGCGACTTCCACATCTGCAACTCTTCATTGTGCTTCTCAGATCTTTCAACGCGCCCCGTGTAGGTAAATGACATCAAACTCTAGCTTTGCTCAGGTACAGGCGAACTGTGAGTGATCGACTTCGATCAACAACTTTCCACGACCCTAGAACCGAACTCATTTCAAATATTGAGCCGCAAAAGCTAACGGTGAAATAGGCTGTCAATACTTCATCAATGATGAAGCAGTCCCTTCCGGCTCCGGCAGAGGACCCGCGAAACGATGCCGACTTGAGTAGACCCCAACACGAAATGAACCCTCAACCGACTCAAAGGGCAGAGCGGTAAGCCCCATTGCCCTTCCACCTCTAGTGACTTCTTCTTAGCTGAATTTCTCACTTCGGACCCTCCCAATCTGCACCACAACACGCCTCAAGTCCAGTTGCGGCAGAACGAGGCTCGTCACCATCGACGAAAGCCTCGCACGAAGAGAGAAGCACAACCCAAGGAACCGAACAAAACGAAGGCTCGAAAGACTCGAAGGACCTAAAGAAGGAACAAACTCCTGATGATAGTAGCTCTCCCCAGACCCAGGGGCAGTTGTTGACTCAAATCGGCGGCCACTTTGATGAAAATACGAAACCGAGCCAGGATGATTTGGATGTGTCGTTGTCTGCCGAGTAAAGTTTCACGAGAGTGCGACGCCTCAACTTTGCAGGCACTCGTTCAACAGAAAGAAGACACGGTCCAAATACCAGCCATAGAACAAATGCTATCCAGAATCAAAACGGTTTACTATCCACCTCACCGTCGTGGGTCTACCGTTGTCGACGGCTGTCGCGGCTCACGAGTCAGACTGGGATCCATTATGTACCAAATCCACACTTTGATGGAGTCTTTCTGCGGTCTACGTCATCGAATGACATCATGCCGTCGCAGAACCGTTGACCGAAGGTTTTCGGTCCTTTTCGCGGCCTGCCGTTGGTCATCTTGAAGAGAATCAATGGGCGGGCCGATAGAGTGTATCTTTCGAGGTCTGCCCCTCCAACCCCTCCATGTAGGTAATATCGGAAAGAAGCGTAGAGAGGGATGCCATTTCAAAGCCTCATGTTGTAAACACTTGTCCAGTTCCAGATCAAGAGAGAAGATGCCATTGATGCCAGATGATTGAATACAGTTTCGCAGAAGTTATCGGGAACATCCTTGAGGTTTCCTGTCCACGCCTTGCTGTCATTGGCAACGAGGCTTGCGATAAGACACGCTTGACAGGGAACTGATAGCAGTGCCGTATTCCTGAAACCTGTCTGCGCTCTTTTTTTAGGAACCCACTTGCCCCTCCATCCATGATCCGCCCAGGGACCGTCGCGTTGTTCCTGAAGATGAACCCCCACCTTTCACAAGCTCGCCGATCATTGAAAATCTGTCACCAACAGTAACACAGTTTCTTTCTTTTCTCTCTCACTCTATTCTCTCCTTCCATTTTCCTTACCTAGAATTGCCATTCCATACCCTTCAAGATGCCTCAAGTAAGTAAAGATCTTAGCTCCAATGGGTAAACCTCATGAGCGACCTAAAGATTAATCCATCTAACCGCTCTCATTACAGATCAAGTGCCTCCTCTTCGACTGCGATAACACGCTCGTTCTGTCCGAGAACGCAGCGTTTGAGGCCTGCGCTCAGCTCGCCAACCAGATCCTCGAGAAGTTCGGCTTCGAGAAGCGCTACGGCGGCACCGAGCTCATGCACCAGTTCGTCGGTCAAAACTTCCGGAGCATGATGACCGGCCTCTGCGCCCGTCACGGCTTCACCATCCCCGCCGACGAGTTCGACCAATGGGTCGCTAAGGAGCTCGACACCACCATCGCGAACCTCCGCGCAAAGGCCGAGCCTTGCGAGAACGTCATCGAGGTTCTCGAGAAGCTCCAGAAGGACAAGAAGTACCACATGGCCATTGTCTCCTCCTCCGCTATGCCCCGTGTCGTCGCTTCCATCGAGAAGACCAACATGGACCAGTTCTTCGACAAGCCCGACGTCGGCATCTTCTCCGCTGCCAGCAGCATCGACCCCCCCATCTCCAAGCCCAACCCAGCCATCTACCTCCACGCCTGCGAGAAGCTTGGCTACAAGCCCAGCGAGTGCATCGCCATTGAGGACAGCAGAAGTGGTGCCACCGCTGCCAAGAGCGCTGGCATTCCCCTCTTGGGATACGTCGGACCCTACTACGAGGAGGGCCAGGAGAAGCTGGACTCCATGATCAAGCTCTTCAGCGAGGAGCTTGGCGCTTTTGACGTTATGCACAACTGGAAAGACTTTGAGAGCATCTTGGCCAAGTACGAGAGCTCATAGATACCCGCATATTGTTTAGCACTTTGGAAACGAACGGAAGCGCGGTTTAGGCTAGACACCGCGTGAATAGCATTTCACACATATACTCATAGAGCTTGGGAAAATAGACACGAATTGAACGAGATACAATACACATTGCTTCGAAAGGCAATTTCACTGAAGGGTGCTTGTGAAAATGGTCGATTCAAATTTACCGCTTCACAATTTAAGAATAGTAGACACGGATGGCACTAGGCCCCGGTCACGGTGACCGTGGTAGTAATGCTTACCGTGACGATCACTGTCTGAGATGGGTCTATGATTTGAGCTGGCTTAAGAGTCATGCTAGACGCAGATGCCGGAGCCACAGTTGCCACCGTTTGAATATTGGTAAAGGAGTCTACCTCGCGGCAACAACAGACTGCATTGAGCACTTGTTTGTCGTTCTTGTCCTTCTACAGAGCGAAGCCACCCACAATTGCACACATTACACCTGCCAGAGTGGAAATTAAAGCGAGCAAGAGGATGATGACAGTGATAGCCCAGTAAATAGTCCATTCATGGTAACGAAGACTGGCGCGCACAAATTGTCGAAAAGTCCTCGGCAAGTAGTTCTCAAATTCGTATTCCAAAACGACTAATTGAGAGAGCCAGTAGTCGTAAACGAGGGCACGCTTAGAACCAACTGGTAACAAGCGTCCGGCGTTAGGGTCGATCCCCATCAACTCGCGACTTTGTAAACTCCGCTGGAATCTCTCGCGATAGGCCTTAACTATTTGAGGCTCTTTGCGTCGTTGTGTGGGAGCAACAAAGCCAAGGTTCTGATCGTCTCGTCGAACAATTTCGGATCGTTGCAATGACTTCTATGAAAACGACAAAATCGTCAGTATGCTGGTTCTATGCACTCATGTTTTACAAACCTGGCGATGAAGCTGCTAACCCATTCCGTGTCAAGTTCCAATGTCTGAGCATTTTCAGGGCGGAGACATGAAAGAAAACATATAGAGTGAGGCGGTTTTTCCTCTCCTTGTGTCTGCGCACTAGAAGATGTTCAAGGATGTTGTCGGTAGGCTGTATGACAAAATCGCCAAGTTGTTGAAGGTCGCGTAGAGTAAGCATTTCTGAGAAGACCTCATCAAGTTGTGGCGAAGTTCAGTCTTTATGACCAGGAAATATTGCAACGTGGGCATCGGCAACTTTTTCCGTTATACTGTTGGTATCCCTATCACAGGGTAGTTGGTTCGAACCGTGGGTTGACGAAAAGATCAATTGATCTATATTAACTTCTGCGCAAGGGTGTAAAAGGGAGGTTCCAAGCGGAGGTTGGGCAGGCCGCGATTCTCGTAAGTATGGGCTGTAAGTGGTTCCTGCGCGGGCCCTTGCCTCGAGGTCGAATTGGACTTTCAATCCGATACATACATTCCCATTTGTAGCCAGCTTCAACCTCCTCACCTGGTGTTTAGCTCTCACCAGCTGTGTTGAAGCGCCGCAAAAGCCATACTTCGACGGCAAAGTCGACGGAGTTCAACACCTTATCTACCTGTTCATTGAATGAAGTCTTAGCAGAAGTTTTAATTTAGGAGCAGGAACTATGCATATCTAATGAGACTCAGCCCAGAATCAGGTGTCAACATACTGTTTGCGGGACATTGAGGTCGAGTGTTCCCAAATGCCAATCCTCATTACGAAGACGGGCAGCCCGTAGCATAATTGTCTGCCTATCTTCATCACGGTTTCGTTTGATCAAATCGATAATTCCGCGTAGGTGGCGGGGTGTGCGCATGAAGTGCAGCTCCTTAGAAAATACTTTCAGTCTTCTCTATAACGCCAAGACGTAGCTTTCAAGCTCATGATCTGGTCTGATACACAACTTCGAGCTAGCTCTCGAGCGAGATCTGGATTGGTTGCAACATACAGCCCTAGGTGTCTCGAATAATCCACGTCCCATATATCAACTGCTAGATCTTTTACTAAATCATCGGAGATAATAGCACCGCGGAGCCGATGTTGAAGACGCACATCTCGAGTCATCTGATGAGAGTAAGCGCAGGCGATTGGCCAGACGCCTTTGTTTGTTTAAAATACTGGCTCTCATGTCTCGTGCACACCATTCGAATTTCGTCAATTGAGAAAACTTGCGAGAATGTTTACTGGTCCCGCTTTTCAAACAACATGTCTTGAGTCTGTGGTGATATGCGTCAATCTACCGATATAAAATTAAGGGACTTAACCGGATGAGAGCTGCTACTCGTTCCTTTTTCAGGCTCTCCCGCGCAAGATAATATGGAAATAGAGAAGGGGATACTCTCAATCGATATCTTGAACTTCAAGCATACCGTTGCTTAGTCAAAATGCCCTGCATAAAGCTGACCAAATTAGTCAGGTTAGGTCGAGATGATTACAGCAACGCAATTAATACTGAATAATTCTGACGAAAGCTTCATAACGTAAGGTACCTGAGTCGGGGTTCATCCATAGACCACACCAAACTGCTTCTGCCTGAGTGCTTCATAGAGCTGCAGACTCCAGGTTTGAGTGAGAAACGCAGCACGTCATCCTTTCACAAGAACTTCTGGTCTGTGCCGCCGTTTGAAACCCCGCGGGGACGCACTAACTCTATGTGCAGTCGGTACCGATGCGGCATTTCCTTTATCTCCCCGTGCCCACTCCGATTTATTAATCCCAGTCTCATCCACCGATACTCACAATTTGTTCACAAGAGACTCAAGAAATACACTCAAAATGACAGAAAACCCATCGAGTAATCAAGAATATCTCGCCCAACCCCCAGCACCATGTTGTTGGGCAGGCACCCTCCACGAAGGCAACCCCCGCGGTGATGTGGAAGACATCCTCGAAGTGCCCACTTACGTCGTTCGCCCGGCAGACGTGAAGCGCTCACTGCCGCCTAACGGACATGTCATCCTCTACTTCCCGGACGTGTGGGGCCTCTCCGTCAATGCCAAGTGCATCATGGACGGCTTCGCCTCCTCGGGGTACACGGCGCTTGGCATGGATTTCTTCCGCGGCGACCCCATCTCCAAGTATCGCAACGCCAAAACCGATCCGCTGCCGGAGGGGTTCGACATGGCGGCCTGGCGCTCCAAGCACTGGAACTTTGCCACAGAAAATGTTCCTAAGTGGACAGCCGCTGTCAAGGAGAGATTCGGTGCCGAGTTGAAAGTTGAGACGGGCAAGGAAACGAAGTTTGCCTGCGTTGGATACTGCTTCGGTGCGCCTTTTGTGTGCAATTTGCTCGCCGGGGCCGGTGGCGATGGGGAGCCGGTGGTTTCCGCCGGTGCATTTGCGCACCCGACGGCGTTGAAGGAGGAACATTTCACCAGCATCAAGAGTAAGTTTGGTCAGAAGAAGAATGAGTCCTTCTTCGGTCATTCCTCAATCGCGTTCTTCAGGCAGCCAATCTGGAGTGCGTGTCTACGACTGAGCTGTGGCGGGACACTCCTAGCTTTTGAGAACTGAGAAGGCTGACCCGATGTACGATAGAACCTCTGTTGCTCTCGTGCGCTGAGAACGACCAAGCTTTCCCAACCGAAGCAAGAAGAAAAGCAATCGACTTCCTTCAAAGAGAGAAGAAAATCTATCACCTTCAGGTCTTCCAGGGCGTGTCACACGGTTTCGCCGTGAAGGGAGACCCGTCAGACCCTTACCAGCGTGAGTCTTTACTGCCCAGATGTGTTTTACTTAAATTCGGATCATCTCAGCTAACTGGTCTTTTTTTTTCTAGGATGGTGCAAGGAACAGAGTCTTCGTGCCATGGTTGACTGGTTCGATATGTGGCTGGTCCAGAGCGATTGATAAGTTGATCAGATGGGAAAATGGCGAGCTCGCTGACAGTTGCGAAGGTGTCAGGCCAGGCTAATGTTAACTAACCGCCACCAATGGAAACGTCAATTGGAGTAGCTTTCTCTGCACACTCGAGTCGTATCATTGAAGTCTAAACTCGATTTAAGCTTGATATCGCAGGTGGGAAGGATATACAGGCTTGCGTTAATTGGGACATGGATCAGTCACAATATTTGGCGCTGAAGTGAGCTGCTGACTATGGCCTAGTGAGCTACATTCTCGTTTTCGCGATCTGGAAATGTTGCCCGTGGGCTCTGTAGTATTCGACTTTACGATTCGCTGATAGCTATACACGGAATTACGATCCACGGATACCGCGGACAAGACCTCAACGATCCGTACAGGATTAAGAGCCTGAGACTCATGCGACCGCATGGCCAAGAGCTAGGGCTGGATATTGTTGGGGCTCGGCAGTGGCCGATTACGCAGGAATCTTTAAGCTTGGCGGGGAGGGCCGTTAGGAAGAATGGGGAAGGTCGCCATGGCCAGGGTTCCATCGCGACCCATGGCTAATTTCGGGGCTTTGGCTTGGCTGTCCGGATAAGGCGATGCTTCAAGCATCAATACGAGGTTAACAGAGCAGCCATACGATTTTAAGAGTCCTTAACAAGCTTGCGATAACTTCATTCAAGATTCGAGCATGAAGATACAGGCTGAAGAGCAAGACATGACCACCGCAGCCACTTTCCTTAACAGTAAACTAGTCTAAAATTAGACTCAATTGGCAGCTTCGACGAAATGCCGGCTTTTGATTGTTGACAGGAGCCGGCCAGGGTCGGATCTACCCGCGGCAACGGCGCCGTCGAGCTTCCTGAATAGGTTATCGGCCCCGTGTCACGCAATGAGAATCATGGCAGTCGTTCAACAACCCCGGACGACTCGGCCGACTCATGAACAGGAGATTCCGCAATCGCAACGGCAGGATGGCTGCATTAAAAGGGCAATTGGGATCCAGCAATTCTTCTCCTTTCTTTGTGAAGGTCATCATCATCGACTCCTCAGCGTCAATTCGTGTGATCGACCAAGATGAAGGCATCATCCCTCCTCGCCATCCTCGGCGCCGTTGTGCCCGCCCTCGCGGCTCCCAAGGGCATCGATTCCCGTGCCGATACGGACCTCATGTCCGGCAAGTACATCATCCAGCTCAAGCCCGGCACCACCCCCGAAGCCGTCACCGCGCATCACAAGGCGGTTCGCAGCCTTCTCCGTCGCCGTGATGGATCCGCAGGCACTGTGGAGAAGACATTCCAGATTGGCGACTTCAACGCCTACAGCGGAAGCTTCGATGACGCGACCCTCGAGGAAATTGCGGCTCTCGACGAGGTCCTTTCCGTCGAGATCGACCAGGCCATTTTTGTCGACCCCACCGAACAGGAGTCGACGCTCTCGAAGCGCGATCTGACTACCCAGGCGAGCAGCATCTGGAGCTTGGGTGATCTGTCCCATAAGGCTGCTGGCTCTACTGAGTATGTCTACGATAGCACTGCTGGCGAGGGCACGACTGCCTATGTCTTTGACACGGGCATCCGCACTTCGCACTCTGAATTCGAGGGCCGCGCCAGTTTCGGTATCAATGGTGTGACTGGATCGACCGTCTCCCCTGGCTCTAACTCTGACACCGACGGTCACGGCACTCATGTTGCTGCGACTATCGTCGGCAAGACCTACGGCGTCGCCAAGAAGGCCAAGGTCATTGACATCAAGGTGTTTGACGGGTCTACGGTAATTACAACATAACCCCTCGTTTGCCTTACTTCGTGCTGACGATTTCTCAGGGCTCCACCTCGGCTATCCTCACCGGCCTTACATGGGCAGTCAACGACATCGTCAGCAAGGGCGCGCAGGGTAAATCCGTCCTCAACATGTCCTTGAGCGCTAGGAACGTCTCGGCCCTCGACGATGCCGTCCTCGCTGCCTACAACCAGGGCATCCTCACCGTCGTCGCGGCAGGCAACGACAACCAGCCGGCTACCGATACCTCCCCCGCGAGACTTCCCGAGTCTTTCACCGTCGGTATGACGCGCCCCGACCGCGGCCGCGTCAACATCATTGAGGGAATTTACGGCAGCTCCTACGGCCCTGAGCTGGACGTTTTCGCGCCCGGTCAGGATATCATCTCAGCTAGCTACAGCTCTGACACGGGCACGGCGACAAAGACTGGCACCAGTATGGCGGCGCCGCTTGTCGCTGGTCTGGTATGCTACCTTAGAGGCTTGGAAGGCGGCTTCGGAACGCCTAAGGAGGTTACCGATAGGATCTTGGAGCTTGCTATCCCGGATGTTGTTGGTGACCCAAAGGGATCGCCGAATCTGTTGGTTAACAACGGCAGTGGGCAGTGAATGGGGATGCCAAAGAGCTGTAGGTGTGTACTGGCTAGGTTTACAGTAATCGAGACGCTTCATGTACATCGTTCGGATTCTTCATCTATTCACATATTAAGTGTCGTCGACGGTGCCTCGCTTGGACTTGAAGAGTGGTGAAAGACAACACTTGTATGGCTTGTGCTGGCTCTGCTTCAGCTTTCACCCATCTATTTAAAATACGTCGTCTCACGAGCTACAATGTAGGTACCTAAATATTCACACCTATCACTTCACAAATGACATTTCCCCCTTCTACTACTTCACAAAACTCGGTATATATGACAAGAACAGGTCACGTACTTAGCATGATATAAAGGTAACCCATCAAAAGGGGACTTGGCGGCAAGTGTTGCGGAAAATTTTGGCAACGCTAAAGAACAATTCCCTTGTTCAAAATGCGTCTCGTCGACGTCTCGAAATTCATGGGTATTTAGAACTCGAACAGTTTCTTATGTTCACTCAGCTGAATGTCTAGACAATGGACACTATTACCTAATTCCATTTCCCTGCGTGGACTGTGGAGTATTTTTTCGCTACCAGGAGCTATTCGGTATAACATGGTCAGCAACGGATACCGATATGTAATAACATCGTCGGTGTCGTCATGCGTGATTTCAAGCTCTTAAAGTCGCTTCCATTATAGGCAGCTGTCCTCTGGGGACGAATAATAACCTACTATCCTATCAACTACGGAATAGCGTTCGTATAAAGATCTTTGTTTTTCCTTAACTTTTTATTAAGATAATTTTTCTATTTAAGGAGGTGGTAGAAATAAGGCCGGATTAATGTTTTATTTGTTCTTATTTTTGGAAAAAAGTATATCTTCATACTGATGCTATTCCATATTCAATGAGATAGTGGTCAGTTGCTCTATCAAGCAATAGACATATATATAACTTTCACTGACCAAGTTTTGGAAGCTATAGTAGCGTAGAAGGCCTGAGCTGTGCTTCCCTGTCATTTCTCGAACTTGTTTGATATACTCCCGATTCTCTGGCGCCATATCAGTGTCTTGCCAGCCAATGTCATTCTCTTCCGAGAACTGTTTCATTTTTTCAATGTGGTGGGGAGTTTCCTCGTTGAGACTGAAGTACTTGAGAAGAGTGCAAAGATAATGTAGAGCATTGGAATGGCGGGAAAGAAGAGGACTTCGATCCGTGCCCGATAGAAAATGGTATACGACTTGGCGGGTCTGGAACTTTGGAGAGAATCGGGGCGAGATCCCCATTTACCGTCCTGTGCGCTCCAACCAGCGTGAAGAATTCGGGTCTTACGACTTTTGTCTGAAGGGTATCAGCTGACTGAAGTCCGGCTGGAGTTTGGACATCTTCTATACATGATATAGGTCTATCTCGGGGTATCAAGGTTTGAAAAATGACTCCAGAAATCTCGAAAGAAAGCGAAAACCAGCACCTGAACAAAGCATAGAAAATCTGCCCGGGGAGATAATGCGATCTTGGCCTCGTATATCGATCAAAGCTCTATATGAGACCATGTCTTGGCCAACATCCGCAGCCGCGAAGTGGAAGGTTCACTTTACGTCTGAATATGATGAACGTGGTACGTCAGCAGCGGTAGTCTCAACCGTGCCATGGTGCCCATAGTGCCAAGCGTACCGAGATGTTGCGCGCAAGTCGGGATTACCGCTGACGGTTCAATCTGTAACACTCCCGACCGGCAGAAGGCGTTTATCCCATTCGCTGAGAGCGCGGGCGCGCCAAGGTCGAGTCAGTCTGCTAAGCAGAGGCCCAACGTCTTGGGGTACCGCTCCGCCTTGCTGTTGCGGGCACAGATCGCGGCATGTAGTTTATTTTATTAACGCACATATGTTGGGGCCACTGTTGATGACTACTTCGGCTGATGTTTTACGGATGTTACCAAACACAAGACGATACCCATCGGGTCCATGCTCCGGATCTCGCCTGTTCTATATAGAGGAAGCCTGCTGCTGACTTCTGGTCAATTGATGATCATGTTGTTCCCGAGAGCTTGCCCGGTGTCAACTTGCAGAAACTCCTCAAAAGCCATCGAGAACATGTCACTTCAAGCTTTCTTTCGTGGTTCGATGCACATCGTCCGATTCTTCCAGATGGCAACACTCGCATTTACCACGTATACGGTATATTACGCGGTATGGATCCGTAGACAGGAGTACCGTAATGCTAGAGAGTATCATGACATGTCAAATGAGATGCTTCTTGACATGAATGAGGTGGCTATGGTCATAGCAGTCAGTAACTCCTCGGTGCCAGACACCACAAGCAAGGGAGGATCCTAACATCGGCTTTGGTAGTGCGTTGCCCTTGGTATCGAGATATTCATTAACTCGGACTTTAACAAACCGTCGGATTCGCGTTTGTCGACAATGAGTCTTGCTATCTTCTCAGTGGGCCTCATCTTTTACGCCACAGTGCCAGCGGCTAAAGAAGACTTGAAGCAGAATGGTGCATTGATGGATCTCAGTCACGATGTCGACTTTTCGACAATCGAAACGGCACTGTGGCGAACATCAATGACATATGGAGTGATTACTTGGTACGTGCCTTTATCTCGAGCGGACTTTGAAGAAACCATTCCTGACTCTTGCGGTACAGGGCGTCGAGCGTAGTGTTCGTACTGTCTACTATCGTGGACCAGGCAGAAAGAGTCATTCTACAGAAGTCGGGCATCAGTGGTGTAGTGTTGCATGCTGTGGATCAGAAAGTTCCCTCGCATGGTCTCAGGCTGGAAATTCGATCTCCTGTGTGAGCGAAACATGGTTCACTTGGGATTTAGGACACATCGCTTCATTTTTTCTTGAACTCAAGGCTTCTCTCGAGTGCCATCCGCGTCAGCATGTGCTTTCAGTTAGATTACAGATACCCATACCTGCTAGCACATAATCACTGAATTTGCTTTCGATCATACCATCGCCAGAGCAGCTTGAAGATCTTTCTCCGAGACGCTCCAAATTTCTCATATTCCAATCAGTTCCCATGCCTGCTCAACTGCAAAGTGGTTTTGAATCCCTGCCTCAACCGTATTGTGTTTGTGCAAGAAAACGTGCGATAAATCCTTGCTCATCCGAAGTGACCGTCACCGTGATTGCCTAGGAAGACTTTTGAACCTTAATGCGTCAACAATATTAGGAGAGCGTCGCAGATGTGCTGCTTGACCCGAACTTTCCTGCCCAGGCAGAAGAACTTTCGTTGCCGTCTTGGCCCTGATCGACATCGCTCAACGACTGGTGTGCTTTTTGTCGTTATCTTGATTGCAACATGAACCTTAGCTCATCCTCAATTGGATGAGGGGTTTATGTCTGATTACCACTGGTCGGTCAACTTCTTTGATCAGCCCTTCCTAGGATATATTGATCTGTTGCCACATAAGTACCTGTCAGTTTTGTCAAAGTACCATGAGAACAGTTTCCAGACTCTGCCGAAATCGGAAGTGCTAACACAACTAAGAGCACCTGCAAATTGCTGAAGTAATAAGCCATGGCCAGGTAGGGCAGATGCATACGCCTGGTGGCCGAAACTCGAGTGATCACAGTGATTATCTGCTCTTAGATACACAGTTCGAGCCAAGGACGAGATATGTAGCATGGCAATTATACCGATAAACTACCTAGGTCTCAAACCGAACTTCGGCTTCTGGTCGCCCCCGACGCCTGCGAGTCTAGATTGGATTCATAGTCATCAAGTTGCGGCTAAATTAACCTGCGAGAAGAGCCATAGTTCCGTCATGAGGATCAGAAAGATCCCCAATAGTGCTTATCATAGTCGCCCTCAGGCTTCCAGAGCGGCGCCGGGGTATAAACCGGAATGGGAACGTCGGCTACTAGATGTTAGCAAGAGTTCGCCTGCGGTAAATATCAATTTCGACTCACTTCCATATCCGGTATTTGGCACGGCCCAAATTGGTGACGGGGGAGCCGTCCAACCTGTTGGCGATGCCGTGATGGTATATGTACTGGTGTACGGCGCAGGTGACGCCTTAGCTCCGAGCGATTTGATGCCGTTGCCTGTCCCATAGGAATTATCTCCGGTACCAAAAATGTTACTAATTTTATTGACAACGCTGTTGCCAGACTCTGTCCAGAGGCTAAAGTTCTCCACCGTAACATTTGTAGCATACGTCAGGTCATTAGCTGTAAGATACAAGGGTGGCCGTTTGGCACCATCGGCTACCGAGCCTGGGTTCCAATTCTTAGCAAAGATGAATTCAGCATTAGAATTACGATGTGTTGACTCACCTGAGAAGTTACGGAATATGAGATTGCTCAAAGCCACAGCACCAGTGTCAGGCTCAAAAGTATTTTGCCAATATTGGTTGACATCCAATCCATAGAGAGATGCCTTAGAGCGGAAGTTCTCGAAAGTCACGTTTGTGACATACCCAGAGCCTCCGGGGTAGGTTTAATGAACGCGATGTTATTTCCCTGGATGATGCTTATGTTGCGTGCATGCTATTTTACGTCAGTAGGTATGCGTGAATACGATTGACATGATCCTTACGATGTTGGCGATGGAAGCAGAGACGTTGAGACTGCCGATGGAGATTCCGGATCCTGCTTGGTTGCAGACCAAGTTTTCTACCAGAGCATGGTTGGAAGGACTCTTGACAGAAACGCACTCGTCTCTATTGGTGACCTAGAATTAAGTAAGCATCGGCGGTTGACTCGAAATCAGACGTATGTACCTCGATATCGTGGATCCAGTAGTTCGTGCCCACAACATCGACACCATCATACGAGCCAAGGTTGGCGCCTCGGATTGTCAAGTGATAAACCTCAAGGTTGACAGCAAAGTCGAAAACAATGTGGAACTTAGGGCTGTCAACAAGAATGAGATCATGCACGGCAGTGTTGATAGGCGAAATCAGGCGGACCAGTCGGGGACGGAAGGTGCTGCTAGTTGTAAGCGGACGCCCCCAAATCAAATTCCGTATGTCACCGGACACCATACTTTGCGAGATTTCTGTACAAGTAGCCTTGTCCCTGAATGGCACCCTTTCCGTTCTTGGAGTAGAACTCAAAGTCGACGGCTAACAGTGCCAGCTACAATCACGCATGAACGTTGAGAAGAAAAGACGTACGGTTGATAATTGTGATGCCATTCTGCAGAAACTGGCCATCGCCTTCGCCATTGATGGTTGCGTTCAGCGGCTCAACCCCAGCGAAGCCTTGTAAGATTAACTCACGATCAACAGTCCAGTTGCCACCGTATGCCAGGGTGATGAGACCGTCGAGCTGAAAGGCCCAATTGGTTCCATTTGACAAGATAACCGTACGCTTGATCAGGTACTGGCCGTCGGGTACAATGAGCCGGCTTCCGGCGTGAGGTAATACACAAGTTTTGAATGCTTTCTCGATAGCATCTGCCACGTCTGTAGCATTATCATTGACTGCTCCGTAGTTCAAGATGTTGCACTCTGTGGTTTTCTGGCTTAGACTTGTGGTTGGTCCAACGGCACCAGTAAGCTGAGCTGCCACCCGCCATGCCGAGAGGAGACCTAAGACGTAGGCGGCTTTCATTATCATATCTGATTAAGAGAAAATAGTGTTGCTTCATATACTATACAGCTTTTATCATCAGGAGCTCACGAGGTGCAACCATTAAATACAAAAATCATGGTTTCCTGACCCAGTTCATCTACAGGAAGAGCAGAGATTCCCTTACTTCGAATCACGACATATAATGACTCTATTCACAATTTGTGGACTGGTGGACTATATCGGGTGAGTCTGCCGATCAGGATCTTGAAGCCTGAAGAAGAATAAGCAACCGGACATTGACTCGTGAGTGACATTTTCCCTGCCTGTGAAGTTGAACTCATGGTAACATGGAAGATTCGAGGCACCACAATGCCCTGGTCAGCAACTTTTCAGACTTTCGTCTGTTTGTAGATTAGACTGTCTTTAAGAAAATATGCTAGAGCTTCCCAGTCTCAGGTGAATGTCGTTAGGACGTGGCCTTGATGGATCACGGCTGAGGTCAAGTTGAGAAGTGAGAAATGGACACACGGTCATCAAGTGAGGGCATTACGGCCCAGTTGTTCAGGCATCAGATTACCAAAACTCAAGCAATATCAATATGGTGGATAAGAGCGCTGTACTAGCTTCAAAGCGAAGTCTGCAAGAAATTCCCAAAATTGCCAAGCTTGTGTTGCCCCCTGTGATTGCGTGATCAAATCAATTCTCGACCGGCTTATCTCCAAAATTCCGAAGCTATTGCAGAACACGACTCACGGCATTGGTGGAATTTGAGCTGTCACTTGCCGAGATCCGATGGTTTGATTGTTTCTCTGAAGGATTCGAGTGGGATCGTACTTTAAGTTTGTTATGTGGGTGGGTTGTCACAATGCGTGAGAGAAACGACTTGCTGTATGATTTCGCCGGCAAACCGGCATCTGAAGAACTTTTGCTTCGTGTTCTACTAGATAAGAAAGGTAGTGTTCCAATATCTGAAGGCGTCATAATCCTGAACTTCGCATCATTTTATGGACTGACGTCTTACATTGCGATACACAATACGTTGCTTTCTTGTTCAACTCCGAGATGCCAGACCCACGCTACATTCAATGCCCTTGAAAAGTCAAGGCAGAAAGATTTGGTCACTCAGCTCTCAATTATGACGCGAAAAAACGTTCTTCTGCTCGTCGCGGACGACTTGGGGAAACAACTCGGCTGCTACGGCTGTCCCTACATCCAAACACCAAACATTGACAAGCTCGCCGCCGAGGGTACCAGATTCGAAAATGCTTTTGCAAGTACCGCATCCTGCAGTGGAAGTCGCTCAACAATCTACACTGGCCTTCATACTCATCAGAACGGCCAGTATGGACTCAATAGTGGCAAGCACCACTTCATGACGTTCGATCACATCGAGTCTGGTCCTGCTCTGCTCGCCAAGAATGGTGTTCGCACCGGGATCATCGGCAAGATCCACGTCGGGCCCGATGACGTGTATCCTTGGGAGTGGCGGGCCGAGAGCTTGACGCGAGATGTGTGGTGGTCTTCTCAGCGTGCGGCAGAGTTCTTCAATGCTTCCAAGGAAGATGATCGGCCATTTGTGCTCACTGTTGGGTATCATGATCCTCACCGTGACCGTACGCGCGGTGGCTTTGGCAACGATGAACTTGTCGATGATAGGATCAAGAACATCAAGTATAGACCAGCGGATATGGTCATTCCCGAGTTTCTGTCGGATACTCCGGGTGTGCGACAGGAGCTTGCAAGTTACGCAGAAGCCATCAGTCGCCTAGATCAAGGCATTGGCATGATTCTTCACGAGCTGAAAGAGTCTGGATTTGCGGAAGATACCTTAGTCATCTTTATGAGCGACAATGGCCCTCCATTCTTGAACTCCAAGACCACGCTGTATGACGCCGGGATTCGCCTCCCTCTCATCGCTAAACTGCCCGGTGCAGGTTCATCTATCAACCCGAACCTGGTATCTTATGTGGACGTTCTGCCTACAATCTTGGAATGGATCTTGGGCGATGCCTCGGATGGCGCCAAATCTCAACTCGCCGGTCGGTCATTCTTCGATATCATCAACGAGAACCACAAACTCGCTGAGTGGGATCACGTCTTTGGCTCTCACACCTTTCACGAGTCTACTAACTACTGGCCGACACGTTACATCCGGACCAGGCGCTACAAGTATCACCGCAACATTGCTTGGAGGCTTGACTTTCCTTTTGCCAACGATATTTACGGCTCGTTGACTTGGGAAGACATTCGAAACGCGGATCAAAACCCGAAGATGGTTGGCGAAAGACAACTCAAAGATTACTTCTTCCGCCCCGCAGAAGAGCTGTATGACTTGGTGAACGATCCCAACGAAGTCAGAAACTTGGCAAAGGATCCGGATTATCAAGACGTATTAGAGGAGCTGCAAACGAGATTGGAAGACTGGCAGAGGAGAACAAACGACCCGTGGCTGTTTCGAGATGGAATATCGATTCTCTTGAACAAACACCATCTTGACGCTGGTCTCGAAGTGCCTGATAGATGGGACCTTGACATTGAGCACCCCGAGACAAAGGGCGACGAGGTGAAGAAGTACCAGAACCTGCCGTTTGGTGTGACTGGCCCCAGATCCTGATAGCATATAGGTCAATTAATGAAATAATGCTATGAAATATCTACATGCTCAACTTTTTATCTATTGAACTTTTCGTTCGTTGAAACTGACGTGCTGTTTGGAAGCTTACACCGACCCTCGAGAGCCAAACACGTATGTTGCCAACTCACATACGTAGGTACTTGCCACACTCAAGTCTACGGAAATCTGTAAGCAATCATAAGCAAGAAGGGACTTCGAACATAGCGCGCAACACCCCGCTAGCAACTCTCATGTAATTCTTGAGGCCCAGTGCTCGGCAGAGTTGAAGCGCCTCGGCCTGATCCCTGTTTTGGGGGCGTTGAAGGTGACATCGGCGCAAATCTTGTACCATCCAGTTGGTCTCCCAAGAACTAGGATCGTAATTCTCTAGAAGAAAATCTACCATACTATTTACATCTGAAAGCTGGGTCTGGCGCGAAGGATGAGGCACAAACGACAAAGGTCTCGATGCTCGTAAAAATCGAAGAGGTTGTGGTTGGTCTGAGGCTCCCGAACACGCGGTTTGCCAAGATGGAAAGAGACAATCCTCCGAGCCCTGCCAAGCGCTATCCCGCGTGTGGCAGGCAGGGTTGTGTGAAGGATTGGCGGGCTGGCATTGTCCTCATCTTTCCCCATTATGTCGTGATGGCTTTCGGATGATCACTGCCGAAAAACCTACCAAAAGCTTATCTTCACAGTAAACTCTTGGCATGTCAAGGATTCTTGACTGTGAAGGGGAATAGGATGATACGAGCGGTTATTTCCAGTAAGGAAGTAAATGCGAAGAAGGAAATGACGTCGAGTCGATTGTCGATGGTGTGCGATCTCGGTGTTCTTTTTACCGTTCTTCGCAATACGTTTATACAACAAGCCAACACCGTGTATATCAACATGGAATCCTTCCGGAACTCCTGTGGTGTAGATGTGTTTGGAACACCTAGGCTCTAAACTTTTGACCGGCAAATTCTCTGAACAGCTGACTCATGCTCTGAGGTGCAACCATGAGCTCGCAAAAGCCACCAGTTATCGAAGTCTCTTCCGGTAGGGAGAGGGTACCGCCTGGCGTACACGATATTGACACAAAAGCTCCCTCCTTCGAGGTCGACTCGCCCAAAGACGAGATCAGCGACTTGGCCGAGCCCCAGGATACAACCAAAAACGTCGGTTTTTGGGAAGCGCTCACACGCCGCAACACGCCGCGGGATCTCGACGCCATCGCAACGGAGCGAAGTGTCTTTGATGATCCCAGCTTGGCGCCCTTCTATCAGCCCCCACCAGAGTACGAGAACGTGCATCGCTTCGATTCGCAGGAACGATGGACGCACCGCGAAGAACGCTCTGTCCGCCGAAAGACAGACTTCAGGATCTTTGCCTGGATTCTGGTCATGTTCTTCGGTCTCAACATCGACAGAGGCAATCTCGGCAATGCAGCTGCGGATAATCTCTTGAAAGACCTCCATATCAACACCAACGACTACAACAATGCTCAGAACATGTACCGCATTGGGTTTCTGATCGCCGAAGTTCCATCTCAGATGATTGGAAAGCGGCTCGGACCTGATAGATGGATTCCCGTTCAGATTATGCTCTGGAGTCTTGCATCTGGCGGACAGTTCTTCATGCATAACCGGGCTGGCTTCTTTGCCTGCCGATTCTTTATCGGTCTCTTCATGGGTGGCTTCATCCCGGATTCCATCTTGTACTTGTCCTACTTCTACAAAAAGACTGAAATGCCCATCCGTCTGGCCCTCTTCTGGTTCGTCGACTCCATGTCCGGCGTCATTGCATCCTTCATGGCCTATGGCATCTTGCACCTGCGCGGTGTTGCAGGAAAGGAAGGATGGCGATGGCTTTTCCTGATCGAGGCTCTCGTCAGTTTCGTCATTGGCGCCGCCAGCTTTCTCTTCCTAGTTCCTGGCCCGACGCAGACCAAAACGTGGTGGAATCCTAAGGGTTACTTCAACGAGCGTGAGGAGAAGATAATCGTCAACCGGGTCCTTCGTGACGACCCTTCAAAGAGCGACATGCACAACCGAGAATCGTTGTCTCTGGGCATGCTCTGGAAGAGTCTCAAGGATTACGACCTGTGGCCGATCTACCTCATCGGCATCCTCTTTGAGATCCCCACCGCGCCACCGAAGACGTACCTCACGCTGTCCCTCAAGGCTCTCGGCTTCAGCACTTTCAACGTTACGCTGCTTGCCATCCCCGTTACAGTGTTTGCTGCAGTCAACATGCTCTGGGTTACTTTTTTGACGGAAAGATTCCATCAAATCGCCATCATCGGCCTGCTCTCGCAGGTCTGGGTATTGCCGCTTCTCATTGTGGAGTATACTTCCATTGAGAGCCTGTCACCGTGGGCGCAATATGCCGTTACGTTCATGATTCTCGGCCAGCCGTCTACCCATGCGGCACATGTGGGATGGTGCTCCCGACTTTCGAACGCCGTCAGGACGAGAGCCATAAGTGCTGCGCTCTACAACATCACCATTCAGTTGTCTGGAATCGCCTCGTCTAACATCTATCGAGAGGATGATAAGCCTCACTACCACCGCGGAAACAAGAACTTGATTGCAATCACTGTGGCAACAATCTTTGCGTATGCTTTTGCCAAGACCTACTACACCCTTCGCAACAAGTCCAAGAGAGCGAAATGGAACAGCATGTCGGAACAGGAGAAGACGGCGTATCTGGCCAACACTAGCGATGAAGGAAACAAGCGTTTGGATTTCTTCTTCGACAGCTAATCCGAGACGGTCAACTCACTGCCGCATCACAATTGCCGCACAGAACCTGGATGTAACCCTAGAACTTGCAGGAAGATGCATCGAAGGAGTTGATTATTTCACGTCGTTAGTCCTTGGACTTACTGTCAGTCAAATGTAATGCGACAATCCAACCTACGATAGTGTAGATACCTTTCGTCAACATGACTCTGAAAGTCATCAATTTGATTGATATCTATCACGCCAACGCCAAATACACTACCATAAGTCATAAAATCTAAGTCCTCTTTTGGGAATCTAGTGTGCCTCAACCTCCTCCAACTGCCTCCTCCAAACCTTGACGGGCATTTCTCCGAGCAACCAGTTCATCGTCTCCTCACGCGCCATCTCAAAGTCCCGCGGCAGAGCAAACTCGTACCTGTGCACAACCGACGCCAAGAGCACAGCCTGCTCAAGGTAAGAAATGTTGCGACCGATGCACCCTCTCGCGCCGGCGGAGAAGGCCAAGAAGTATGGCTGCAGCTCCTTGCCCTTGTCGCCGAGCCATCTGTCCGGCACGTACTTGTCGGCGTCGGGGAAGACGGTCTCGTCGCGATGGGCGACGACGCCGGACATGCTCACGGTGGTGTTGCCCGGTACCCACTCGCCCATGATGTACATGCCTTCGGGGGGTGTCTTGCGAGGCAGGCCTTGCGGCGTGGGAGGGAACAGGCGGAGGGACTCGTCGAGGCAAGCGCGGAGGTAGGGGAGGTGCTTGACCTTGTCATAGGGGGCGACAATTTCGTCGGCATCGAGGACGCTGTCAACTTCTTCGCGGAGGAGCTGGAGGTATTTGGGGTTCTTAAGAAGCTGGTAGAGGACGTTTGTGACGGCGATCGCTGTAGTCACGCTGCCGGCGTTCATCATGATGTTGATCTCAGCGACGATTTCGCCCCACTCGAGGTTGTTGGCCTCGCCGTTCTTGTTCTCCATCAGGGCTTGGAAGAAGTCATCCAGTTTCTCATCGCCCTTGTTGTAGCGTTGGAGGCGCTTGTGGGAGAGTTCCAGGACGATGCCGTCCCAGCCCTTGGAGGCCTCGGTCATACGGCGGTAGCGGGGGATGATGTTGGAAAGCTTGTCGATGAGCTTGTAGTTGTCGTAGCTCCAGACGAGGAGGGACTGTTTCCTGGCGGTGGGGTAGAGGGAGTCGCGGAGGGGAACTTCCCAGGTTGAACCATCTTTGCGGCGGGCGAGGACTCGGTCGTGGCCGCGATCGAGCAGGCCGAGACATTCGGAGAGACCGATGTCGGCGATGGCGTCGAGGGTGAAGAAGTTGCCCCATTTGCGGTAGTCGACGGTCAAATCCTCTGGCTTGGGGAACATCTGACCCTTGGGGAGGGGGTCGGTGCAGCGCTGGTCGAGTTGCTTGAAAAGTCTCTCGACCTTGTCTGCGACCTTGTGTTCCCATCCCTCGAGGTTCTTCAGGGCATAGGCCGAAGACAAGACCTTGCGCTTCTTCGCGTGGTCATGCTTGTCGACCACATCGGCAAGGTGGTAGTGAGATCCGGCCGTGAGGACGTAGGATTCATCCTTGATGCAGGGGGTTCCGTGGCCATAAATATCCTTGATGGCGCGGACGTCGCTGAAAGAAAGGGTGTTGGGACCGGTGCGGAGGATCGGGCCCTTCTCCCGGTGGAGATTGACGAGATGGGTTGATCGGGCGCCGGTCCGGGCGAGGATCATGAAGGGGATGTTGTAAACGCCGGAGAATGTGCTCAAGTTTTCAAACTTGCGCATGCCTTAGCCTTATGTCAGTAGTTGTAAGTGATGGGCCTAGATCTGAAGAAAGCTCACCTTTTGTGTCCTTGAAGTATACAAATAATGGGTAGACAATAAAGTAAGACAAGGCAACGAAGAGGAAACCCGCGGCGTATGGCGCCTGCGAGAAAGTAGAGAATGTGTCGAGTGCCATTTTGCTAGTTAGATCCCAAAAGATCTTGTCAAATGGAAAAGGCAAACCGTGGGTTGGAAGGGTGAAGAGCTTTGGACTGTGGTCTACTCCATGCTGCTGGAAGAAAGGACGTCTTCTTCAACTAAATAACCATCCGCGTTGTGGAACACTAATCAGCCACAGAGTCACGAGAATGGATAAAATACGCCGTAGACCAATGCCCACTTGGGTTGGTCTGGCTTGCGAGAAAGGAAAATCTCGCCGCGACATCGCATTCGCTCACAGCTCGCAACCTACAGTCCCTCCCTCCACTAGCTACGACATGTTCTCCGCACCTCTGCAGTCACAAACCTCAACCTCCCCCCTTTCGTCTGAGCTGTCAACAAGAATAGCTCATGAGACTTCCAAGAAAATCCCGGATAGGAAAGAGGGGCGCAAAGCTGGGGGCGGCGGGCGGGTTCTGCCCCAGGCTGGGACAGAGGCGGGATTAAGTCGCTCGGACCAAGACAAACAAGGGCCAAGTTCCGCGGGGAAAACGCAGTATGCGATGGACGCATGGCTGATGAGTAAATGATGCACCATTGGGTAGTTCTGCATTGGACTGACAGATCTTGGGGTTATCTCGGGGTCCGTCACACACCCTTCACGGCATCCTTACGCGGGGGAGATGGAGTCTTTCTCCTGGGCTGGACCCGCGATCTGTGGGGCTTTTGTCTTGATCTGGTAATACTCACCGCGGGAGAGACTTGAGAGTCGAAATGCAGTATGTCAAGAGGCTTTCGGTGTTCCAGCCGACGATGGAGAAGGCATCAAGAGGCTGGGGCGAAGTTTGGGGAAATACGGGGACCTCTTCGGTAATCTTGCAGTTTGTTGGATGGACATCTCGATCCCGCGGGTTATGTCGCCTATCTTAGTTTAGACTGCATCACATCTCGCCTTGCCAGCCGCTTCTTCGTGTCTCCTCCCCGCGGGGAAGTGGATTCGTTCCCCAACTTTCTCTGTGCCAAAATCTGAACCCGTCTCAAGTTGGCAATGCTCCCCGCACCTCGTGGGGGCGGCGACTTGCCTCTCAGAGTTGATTTAGGAAAGTCTCAAGCGAAGGGTAGGTTGACGACACTAGCTGTGTTGGTGGCCATAGTTCACATGTTGTACGATTTAGGAAACTTTCACGATACTCACAAGAAGCTTCTGGTCGCATTTAACATCTCGAAACTCGCTGTTCTCATGCCTTGAGCTTTAGAAAGACAAGCCCTCTGATACCAGATTCCACTCGACGCTGGCAGTTTAGTCACTTTCGTTGCGCTTCGTATACTCATCACACCATGTCTCTTCCAGGAGCTCTGCCAGAGAGCACGCTGAAGCTCATCAGCCAGCTCGCACCGGGAACAGTCGCAGACACGGCCGCTCTCGCTGCAGCAGGTCTTTTATCTGCCGCGTATGTCTTGCGCGGATACGCCTGGGATAAGCCTGATCCGTACAACTACATCTGGTACGAGAAGCCTCAACAGGGCACCGCCGGCAACGCCGCAAACAAGAAATCCAAGAACATTGCCGAGAGGTTAGAAGAGCTCGTAAGTCGATTCGGAGGTCATAGTTGTGTTTGACATTTGGCTAACAGTATGTCGTGCAGGGCAAAGATGTCGTTGTCTTCTGGGGCTCGCAGTCTGGCACCGCCGAGGGCTTCGCGAACCGTCTCGCTCGCGAGCTGCACCAGCGTTTCCACCTCAACACCATGTCGGCAGACCTCTCAGACTACGATGCCGACACAATCACGCAGATCCCTCAGACCAAGCTGGCCATTTTCATCATTTCCACCTACGGCGAGGGAGACCCCAGCGACAATGCCAGTCTGTTTTGGGACTGGTTGACCAAGCTCCAAGACAAGCCCCTCGCATCGCTTCGCTATGCGGCGTTCGGTCTGGGCAACAGCAACTACAGATACTACAACAAGGTCGTCGACGTTGTCGACAAGGCTCTTGTAGACTGCGGTGCCTCGCGCTTGGCGCCCGTTGGCCGTGCGGACGATGCGGTTGGAGCTACAGAGGAGGATTTTCTCTCATGGAAGGACGACTTGTACAAGGTCTTCCGTGATGAATTACAACTGAAAGAGCACGAGGTCGTCCACGAGCCATCTCTGGCTGTTGTCGAGGATGAGTCTCTGGAGCCGCAGGATCTTCATATTGGCGAGCCAGTACACTTGATTGAGGGCTCCGGAAAGTCAACGGCCAACTCAGCGATTAAGGCATTGAAGATCAAAAACGCTCGCAGCTTATTCTCCTCCCCTGGTCGCAGCTGCCTTCACCTAGACCTCGATCTAGGAAACAGCTCCCAAATCACATACAAGACGGGCGATCACCTCGCTGTTTGGCCCATCAACCCTGATCAAGAGGTTGAGCGTCTCCTCAACGTCCTTGGTCTCTCCGAGCGCCGGAGTATTCCCATCAGCATCAATGCCCTCGACGCCGCCGTGAAGGTCAGAATTCCTACACCAACAAACGTTGAGACGTTGTTCAGATACTACCTCGAGATCTGCGCCGCCGTTCCCAGAGACGCCGTACGAGGCCTCGCCCAGTTTGCGCCATCTGCCGCATCAAAGGAGATTCTCCTGAACCTTGGCCGCGACAAGGATAACTATGCCGCTTTCCTTGCATCTAACCACCTGACCATCGGCAAGCTTCTAGAATACGCAGCTAAGGCCGACGGCCAGGCGACGTCGTCTGCCTGGTCCGGAATCCCTCTCTCCTATCTCATCGAGACACTGCCTAGATCCCAGCCGCGCTACTACTCCATTTCCTCCTCCAGCGTCGTTTCTCCCAAAGCTCCCAGCATCACCGTTGCTGTTTCTGATACCCCCCTGTCTGCTTCTCCCACAACGGCCATCCCCGGCCTGACGACGAACTATCTCCAATCTCTCTCCAGCTCTCTGCAAGACTCACAGGCAGCACAGCAGGTCGAGGGCCTCAGCTACGCCTTATCAGGTCCTTCAAACGCACTCGAAGGCGGCCTCATTTACGCCCACATTCGTCGCTCCAAGTTCAAGCTCCCCATGCTTTCCTCACACCCGCTCGTCATGGTCGCCGCCGGTACGGGTCTGGCGCCCTTCCGAGCTTTCATTATGGAGCGTCTCCGTCTGCAGTCCGTCGGCAAGGACATCGGGCAGATGATGCTCTTCTTCGGATGCCAACGCCCCGATGATGACTACATTTACAAGGAGGAGCTCGAGCAGATGGAGAAGGATCTTGGTGGAAAGCTCAAGATCGTCACTGCCTTCTCGCGACAAGAAGGCGCGAAAAAGACATACGTTCAAGACAGAGTGCGCGAGTTGGGCGCCGAGGTTTTGGCGCTCTTAGAGGAGAGTGCCATTTTGTACATGTGCGGACGGGCGAGCATGGCTAGGGAGGTTGGCAAAACGTTGGGCGATGTCGTGAGGGCGGATAAGGGTTGGAGTGATGCCCAAGTCAAAGATTGGAGCGAAGGGTTGAAGAGGAATCGCAAGTGGCAAGAAGACGTCTGGGGATAGACGTGACTTGTAATGGGATTGTGGGAATTGGGGGACTGGGAACTGGTATGATTTAGCGTTGCTTGCGAGTATAGATGATATTGATAGATTATATGGGAAATGAACAAATTCTTTCGCTAATCCAGTTGATAACGAGCAAGGCATCGTGAAAAGTGACATTCGTTCGCCTCATTATTTCATGGTCTAGTCTAGTCTATTAGCTGATGTCCGCCTTGTCGGACCGTTGAACCGTCCCGGCGTTCTTCGATGCAGCGCACCTCGAAGGAGTTTTTTGGACTATCATATCCTTGCTATTTGCTATCCAGACAAAGTTCCAAACTCTTCAGGGTTATACTAGTCCTCACCAATGAACATGTCTCGCGTTTTTACTTCCCAATTGGACTTTTCTAGTAACACATGATAGCACGACGTCCAAATCTCTGAAACCCGATTTCAGCCGGCACTTCAGGTGGAACAGCCACGGTGGTGTGAGATCTTCTAGGTTCTTGACTGGCGATCATTTGAAGCGCCAATGCAGTGATACCCTCGCTTTAACACTTGGCGTTGAGCGACGCAGGCCGTCGCGGGACCTGCATGTTCTACTAGTTGGTCGTATTCACAACCTCTTCATGTATGAGAAGTCATGGAAATAGGGTATGTATAGAGGAGGCTGTGGAATCGACCACGCGCGATGCGCGCGATGCGAAGGATGCTCTCAGATATCACATCGGAAAAGTGGCCGTTACTCGGTAAACTGTACCTCCTTTCATCATGAGACTTCCTACGTATCCCGCCATAGCTCCGAGCTTCCATTTTTTGACCACATAACCTGTTGCACGTTACCAAAACTTCGAGAGGGGACGGATCGGGAACATTTCTGCCTGCAAGGGACTATTGCCACGTACGTCAACACGCACCTCAAACTGGGGACGGAAGCCATGATGGTTCCCCATGTTTTCATAATCCGCGGGCGCCAGTTTGGTCCCAAAATCCACATTGACATGCCGGTTTCGAAACATGGCAGGCGGAGATCGGACTGGGCGCTTGAGGCTCCAGTCCCGCGACGTTCATGTCTCGCGTTGGATCCGAGCATGAGAAGTATCTGCTTGTGTCTACAGGTTATCAATACCCCCGCCCTGTTGGTTATCATGCCGGCCGAACTCATGGAGAAACGTGGAACAAGCTTTGGCTAGGTATGCTTGCACACTATTTCCTTCCCGCGGGATATGTTGCCTTTTTGAGGGATTCAATTCCACTCATGCGAGTCCCTGAGTCAGTGGAGACGGCTGCAATTGGCTAGGGTTTCCCTCTCCACATGGGCTACGAGTAACCCTCACTCCACCATCCCTTCTGCTCATCTACCGACGGGCCACGGCTCGAACCCGCGGGCTAAGGCGTCTCTACTCGCTGCGTTACTATCCGCACCAGACACTCTTTGGCCGCGTACACTCCAATCGGATTGTCGAGATTGATAATGATTGTTGTTAGCGGACTTCAACCCGTGGAGACTGGAAACTTGCGTCGACCTGGAAGAATCCGGGGGAGATGAGGAGTACGCCATCCGAACCTGGGGCTCCCCACTCGTCTCCATCAAAAACATGTCAACTTCCAACCCACAAGGTCTTTTGCGTCTTCAGTATCGTTTTATCTGCAATACTCACGATGACATCATTCTTCCAAGAATTGGTCAAGGCCCGCCTGCGGATTTGGGGTAGTAGCAGTAAGCTACATGGCCTTCGTCGATCGGCGGAACTTACAATTCTGTAACCCTCGGAAGAAAGTCCTGGAAACACGAGGGCAGTGAGATGTATACTTCACCTAGGTTTAGAAGTCAATAGAGTCACCAGACGGTACCGTGATTCTGGCACTCCCTTGAACCGGCTGCGACACTAAACATGAGATAACTTACGGAAACAACGCTGACAGAAGCCCATAGTCGGCCGGAAATCAAGACCAAGAGACACTAGTCCTTAAATCCCCCTGTACAGACACATTGGACTGTTACCCGCGGGGCTTTTTTACTACATTGGGGATGGTCGGCTGAGTGACTCCCCGCGTATCCCGCACACGGAGGTACCCCAGACAACCCACCCCCGCATTTATTTCGACGTACGCTGCGGATACACACGCTCGACACTGATCAGGTGTTTGAGTAGAGAATCCCGCGCGATGGGAAATAGGAACTAGTGATCAAATCTGATGTGCTTCTACCATGGACTCGGGAGACGTAGCAAGGTAGTGAGACTACCAATGCTAGCTGAAAGTTCCACGTGGAGAAAATAGACTAAGAGACACTGTGCCGGTTTCCGTCTGATTCATCTGTTCCTCGAGGTTGGGGTTCAAACGTAGGAAAAAAAAGCGCGTGCTTTTGAAGTTTCTCCTCATACCACGACTAATTTGGGCAATTTAAACCCGCGACTCCACCTTGGCGCGTGGTCTACTTGCTTGCAATTCCCTTACAGTTCTTAGTAGCCTCCCGTCGGTAACATAGGGTCGTTGACTCATTTTCTATATAACTACTACGTCTGTTCGCTTTTCCTCGTCTGAAATTCTGCAGCCCAGTCTCTTCTTTGAGTTTCCCCAACCGGCCTCAGCCTCATCCGATTCAACTCTCGTAATCAGCCAAACATCGCTTAGCTTTAGCTCTACCTCTTGCTTGAATTCGAACCGCCATTGCTTATCTTCTTTACTGAAGCCGGCCCGAACTTGCAATTGCTCGACAATGTCGCAAACCACGCCCGACTCCGAGAGCAAGGCCTTATCGAGGGAAGCTTCTCTCGATAAGATGAAGCTCGATGGAACTACATCCCACGTCGAGCAGACGCAGCCCGTTGACTTTGATGATTCTATCGAAGATACTGAGCCTTCTAAGGCAGTATGGCTGATCACCTTCACCGTCGCAATGGGCGGTTTCTTGTTTGGTAAGCCACTTTTCCGCCCGGGCTACAAGGATTCAGTAAACCTCTAGGAAGTGAATGGTTTTACTAATTGAGAGTTCTTTGATTAGGCTACGACACTGGTGTGATTTCGGCCGTTCTCGTCAGTCTCAAAAGTGACCTCGGACACGAATTGGATTCGCACGAGCAGGAACTGATCACGTCCATTACTTCTGGCGGCGCTTTGATCGGTGCCGTAATTGCTGGTCTTCCGGCCGACAAGTACGGGCGAAAACTCGGCATTTATATCGGTTGCCTTCTCTTCCTTATCGGCACAATCATTCAGGCTGCTGCGTTCTCCGTGGCGCAAATGACTGTTGGTCGCTTCATTGTCGGCTTGGGAGTCGGTTCTGCGGCCATGATTATCGTGAGTTGCCATGAAGCTCCCTTCCTAGACAGGAGCTAGTTCCAGGCTGCAGTCATCTATGGGCTTCAATATCTAACCAAATGCACAATAGCCTCTGTACATCGGCGAACTCGCACCCGCGAAACATCGTGGTCGCATGATTGCATTCGACAACATGAGCGTAACCCTCGGACAACTAATCTCCTACGCCCTCGGCGCCGGCTTCACCGAGGTCTCCCACGGATGGCGCTACATGGTTGCTGTCGGCGGTATTCCACCCATTATCCTCGCGTTCCTCCTTCCCATGTGCCCTGAGTCGCCCCGACAGCTCATCTCTCACGGAAAACTCGAGGAGGCTACGCGCGTCATTAGGCGCGTGTACCCGCACGCGACGGAAGAGCAGGTTAACGCCAAGGTTGGACACATGACGTGGTCGGTCGAGGTCGAGGCCCAGGCTACCTCAGCCTCGCTTTGGGATCGCTTCAAGGAGTTGCACGTTGTGCCTGCCAACTTCCGTGCTCTTGTCACCGCGTGCGCTATTATGTCTAGTAAGTATCCCGCGTTTTCCGCCATGTCCCAATTGCAGATGCCATGAGGGAGTAAGATAGGCATCTATACATGTACTGACGCTTTTTCAGTCTCACAGCTTGGCGGTTTTAATACTTTAATGTATTACAGCGGGGTTCGTTAACTGAGTTCTTGGCATAGGTATAAAATTCAATATGCTTACCAAAAATAGGTTCTCTTCGGCCTTGTTGGCTTCGACAAGCCTGTTGCTGTGTCCATCGTCGTTGGCGCCACCAACTTCGTCTTCTCGCTGGTGAACCTCTTCATCATCGACAAGCTCGGCCGGCGCCGCATTCTCCTGGTGACTGTTGCCGGAATGGTATGTTTCACTTTCACCAAGCGCTGGACTTCTCAGCAAGTCGAAACTCCCAGTCTCTAATGTTTTTTCTCCAGTCCGTCAGCATGGCCGTAGCTGCCGTCGCCTTCCACTGGATCCCAGTCTCGCCAGATCTCAAACTTCAAGCCACCTCGGTAAACTGGGCTGGCATCCTCGTCCTCGTGACCATCATCGTTTACGTCGCCTGCTTCGCCGGCGGTGTCGCCACCATCGCTTGGGTCGGCACCGAGCTCCTGCCCCTCGAGGTCCGCGCCCTCGGCACCATGATGAACACGGTCACCTGCTGGGGCTGCAACATCATCATCGCATCTACTTTCTTGTCCATGATGAAGGGCATGACACCCAGCGGCGCGTTCGGGTTCTACGCGGGAATTTGTTTCTTCGGATGGGTCTTTGTTGTCTTCTGTTACCCCGAGGCCAACGGTTTGCCGCTCGAGGAGGTGAGGCAGATCTTCTCTACTGGATTTGGTGTCAAGAAGGCGAATGAGCTACAGAGACTTCGCAAGATGGGTGGTGGCTCGGCTTAGGTCCTTGTTAGGAAGTTGCGGCCTCTTTATTAAGCGTATTACATACAGCCGAGCGACAATTATCTCCATAACGAGGCATGATTAATGGAATCTATCAACAACTAAGATGTCTCGAGTTGTGGCCATTACGTACGTTGAGTGTGCACGACAAAAAGTCAATAACAGCTGCATCTTGCCAGCTCCTGAACACATACCCTAGGAGATATACACACTTGTTGGCGGGCCAATGTAGGTCTCTTGCACGCCGCCAAGGTCAACCACGAGCTTTTCCAATATCAAGTTCGAATGCTTAAGACGAATCCTCAGGTCATGCTCCCCAGCATCGAGACTATTCTCGCCCAGACCATGCCTTCGCAACCAAGCACAATCCTGTACGGCATAGAACCAACCTTCGGGGAGGTCGCTGGTCTTGGGCGACAGTCGGTGGGTCTGGACAGGTCCCTCGTCAACCTGCAAGTCGTAAGACATCGGATCTGCCGGGTCGAGGTCGAGCGTCATGTTGAAGTACAATAACAGAGACGGGTTCGCTGTCTGCGAGAAGGCGTTAAACTTGTACGTGAGCTCCGCGCTCTCCGCCCCCGGGGCAAGTGCAATCGCTCCCTCTGGGGTCCTGCCGCACTCCGGCAGTGCTTTGAGATCTTGTGGAGGACAATGCGCCGCAGGGATGGAGATGTACCCGTCGCTTTCGATAAACCCTCCTTTGAACAATTCGGGAGCGCGTCTGCCAGTGATAGGTAGATGTACCTGCTCAAAGTCGCCCTCTTCGGATCTGATATCGATCAAGACCTTCTGCTCAAAGTCATCTGGCACCTGATCCCAAGCAACTGTGACATCAACTCGTGAATCATCCCCATCAGGATCAAGCGTGCCAGACGACATCGAGAGCTTGACCCAGTCATACGGAACCGCAGCTTTCCAATGCGTAGCCTGAGGTCCCCGGCTGTAAATTTCGAACCACCTCTTCAACGGCCCATACCGACTCATCAGCCCCAACGTCACCCCAGGGACCAAGTCCCGCCGGCTAGGGTGTGTTCGATCAGACTCCTCATTCGTCCTTCCTGGACGAACACCCTCGTGGCCTTCAATAACGATTCCCATTTGGCCCATGACTGGATTCGAACGCTGCCGATGCTGGACGTAGCACAGGCCGCCTATCATGTCGCGGTACGGCGCGTGCCACGTCTCTTCGTAGCCGTAGTGTGTCTGGCTCATGATCTGGTTCCACTTACCGTCCAACAGAGCGTGGAACTCTTCCGAGAGGGCGTAGTCTGCATCAAAGAGGTCCAGAACCTCGCGGGCGAGCTTGTTGGCGACGTTGCGGCGCTGCCGGGCGTAGAGTCTGTTCCGGCCTAAGGTCACTTGGAGTTTAGTAAAGATTGTCGATGCCTTGACTGGGTGAAGGACGGTTTCGTAGATGGCTGCCTTTTGAGCATCTGGAGTTTGTTTATAGATCTCCTCGGCTGATTTAAGGAGTGACTCCCAGCGGTGTACAACGTCTTCTGCCTCGTTGTAGTGGATCAAGGAAAAAGTCGTCGGTTCAATGTGTTCGTGTCTTCTTAGTGCTGAGAGTCGATCGTATCTTTGCCACACCGATGCGATCTGGTCGGATTGGTCCTTCCCAAAGTTTGTCTCTGCCATTGTCTGGTAGAAGTTTGCAAAGTCGTTGGCGCCGATAGAGTTGATGTCCCAGGCCAACGACATTGCAAAAGTGAGCGGTACTTCCATCGGCTTGATGTCACCAACGTTGAAGACCCAGATTTGCTTCGCGTTGCGTTTGTGTGCTTCTTGTAGCTGATGCCAGGTTTTCCCCTATTTCCTCCTGTCAACCATATGAATCTTTGCAGTCATGGGTTGCGACAAACCAGAGAGTTACTGTTGATCCACTTATAGCTTCGTGGAACTCCCACATACTCGAAGTGGTAGTATATCTGCCTCTCTGTCAGCATCGCCTAGAATGGGAAAATGAGCCCGAGAAAGGGTATTTCATACGCCCGCGCCTCCCTTTCTGTCCCTCTCCGCTCCAGATGGAAGGCGTCTGATACTGCCAAAGTTATCGTCGGCGAACAGAAGAGTGACATCATCGGGCACATCAAGATTCCCTTCCTCATACTGCTCCTGCACCTCCTTATATAAGGCCAAGAGCTCTATTTCCCTAGTTAGTCGCCCAAAATTCTCTCTATTCGGGGATATGTTACCACATACGAGGAACAGCATCTTCTCTCCCATGAACCCGTTTGATAAGAGCCCGTTGCGTCTTAATCACATCCCGCACCACAGCAGCCGGATCATCCGTCTTCATCTTCCGGTCATACTCGCCGCGCATGCCAAGGGTAAAGTACGACTCGCGGCCTTTTGCCCTCTTGATGCCCTCATCAAAGAAGTCGGTGATCTTCTCCTTGTTGGTGAGCCAGTTCCAACTGCCGTCCGGGTTGTCTGCGAACCACTCGTTGGACATTCTCTGCATGGGCTCGTGATGGGACGTGGAGACGGCGATGCCATAGTCTTCGGCGAGCTTGGGGTTTAGGGGGTCGTCTGTGAAGAATAAGGCGCCCGGGTTGGGGTAGCCTGGCCACATTGCCGGCCAGAGGAAGTTGGCCTGGTGGAAGAATTCAGCATTCGGAGTTTTGTCAGGTTTCTGTCACGTAGTACCTTGAGTCTTAGTAGTAGTTCAAAGACTTTCTTGTAGAATTCAGAGTTGTAGCCCCCGAAGTTGGTCCTGACCCAGCCCGTGAGGGCAGGAGCTTCATCGTTGATGAAAATGCCGCGGAAGCGAACGCTGGGTTCACCATGACAAGTCGGCTGTAGTATTGCGTAGATAGCTTCATGATGTTTGGGAGGAACATCAGCCCAGTAATACCAACTACGTGTACCTGATGTTAGCAGATAGACGGACCATGAATGGGAAAGGAATCTTACGGAGAGACTCCGATTTGCTCAGAGAGAGTGTAGGCACCGAATATCGCCCCTCGCTTGTCGCTCCCGGCAATTATGAGGGCTTTCTGCACGCCCGGCAAGGGTTGATCGATTACACAGGTGCTGAAGGACTCCCATTTCCCCCGAATCTCCTCAAAGTTGAGCTTCCCTTCTTGTTCCAGCCGCTGGAGGATAGAACTTGACTCGACTGATCCGATGATAATGGCAGCGACAGATCCCAAGGCGGCATCGACTTGGGTCCCTTGAACGACCTGGAGCGTGCTCTGTTCAGACTTGGTGACTCGACCAAAGTCCTGCGCGAGATTCTGCGCTGCGATGTGAATGCCGATCGGATCCGACTCGTCCACCAAGATAGTTGCGCCGACCAAGTCCAAGGGCTCGGCGTCTTTTGGTGACGAAAACGTCACAATGGCTTTTTCAAACATTGTGCTGTATCATGCAAGCCTTTTTTTGCGAGTTTTGCGGAAAACTTTGTTCGAGATGATGTTAAATTTGAGTCTTCTCGAGCTTCTCCTCTCCAAGTATCCACGCACCGGGTGATTGGAGGCCGAGGTCGGCTGCCTCAACAACTGGTTGCCAAGTGATCATCCAGATTTCCGCTGCGAAAAATGCATTCCCACCCCGCTACCGCCTTGGCATCGTAGTATGGTAGTCAAGATAGAGTCTCTACTTCAGACCTGCTTCCATAACTCATCCTCTAGACTATCTGCCATATTCTGCATCCGCATAGCTGTCCTACACACCCAAGTGGACACATCGTGCACCAGACAATTTTCAAGCAACGACAGAACTTAGGTTGAGTCGTCCCTCCCAAAAGATGCCAACACCTTCTCCGCGCAACAGATCGTATCTGGTTAGCCACGCCATCTTGACCCTTGGCCCGGTGTCCGGCCCGGACTCGTTCCCCCGCACGCCACCCCGGTCCTTACCCCCGCCTCCGCAAATCCTTAATGGAGCCCTTTCTCCAGGTTATTATGGAATGATCATCGGCAAACTACGGTATGGGATAGCCGAGGGCGACCAAACATGCGAGGAGCCAAACAAACATAAGAAAAATGTAACGATTATCGCGGCTAACAACCCCTTAAGCGGCATAGCAGCCCGCGAGGTTTTCGGAGCTATGGCTAGATGAGTCGTGCGCATATGCCCAAGGTCGCGTGGTCTCTGTACCTACATGCCCAAAGTACGTACGGGATGTGGATGGGCACCCCGGCCGTACCAAGGCTATGGATTTGCAGGCTGGTGTTGATCCAGGCTTGGGGAGCTCAAGATGGTCTGACCGCCCCCAGATAAAAAGGGCGCACTCTTTCATCCTTCTTACCTCCTTGATAGTCTCTTGGCTGTCGGACGCGCCAAGCAAAGCTTCTCTAGCCTACTTCCGTGCGACACAGAGCCTCGAACTTCAAAAACTCAGCATTGATAAGGGCTGCTTGTTCACGATGGGCAAAGTTGACATCGTCGAGGCGCCCGATGTGGTTGAGGACGTGGCCGACGGCAAGCAGCGGACAAACTACGACAAGGTCGACAATGAGGTTGCCAAGTACGCCGGCGAGACAATTGTCGAAATCGATGCGGCGACCAATAAGAGGCTGAAGAGGATGATTGACAAGCGAGTATTGAGCGTCATGGTCTTTACCTACTTTATGCAATCGCTGGACAAGGGAACAATGTCGTTTGCGTCCATCATGGGCATCATTCCTGATACGGGCCTCGTAGGCCAGCAGGTAGATCACCGTAGCCGTTTAACTTCAAGTATCAAGCTAATTGAACAGTACTCTTGGTTGACGACCATCATTTATCTCGTTATTCTTTGCGTCGAGTACCCGGTAAGACACACTTCCTCTCATCTTTCATTGAAGGTAAACAATGCACTAAACAAACACGCAACGACAGGAAAACTATATTATCCAGAAGATCCCGATTGCGAAGTGGCTCTCCTTCAACATCATCATGTGGGGAGTGACGCTCAGCCTCCACGCCGCATGCCACAACTTTGTCGGTCTGGTCATCGTCCGTGGCTTCCTGGGTGGTTTTGAGGCGGTCTGCCAACCGACTTTCGTCCTGCTCACGTCCATGTGGTACAAGCGTGAGGAACAGGCCTCAACCGCCATCTACTGGTGAGTGAACAGCAACCGCTATCTTCAGAAAAAAAAAAAACCGAGTTACAGGTGTACATGAATGCTGATTCTCCATTCTACGCGCAGGTACATGATGAACGGCCTCCAGCAAATCATCGGCGGCCTCCTGGCCTTTGGCTTCTCCTTAATCCCCGGCTCGTCGCCCATACGATCGTGGCAGGCCCTATTTATGACCTACGGCATCATTACCGTCTTCTGGGGCGCCTTTGTCATGTGGTGGATGCCCGATTCGCCGATGAAAGCGCACTGCTTTAGCGAGGAGGACAAGAAGCTCATGGTGGAGCGCGTGCGGTCCAACCGTACCGGGTTACAGAATCGCAAGTGGCGCAAGGAGCAGGTCTTTGCTGCGTTCAAGGATCCCCAAGGTGAGAGAGTTCTCATTTCGTGCCGCAGGGGATGGTAAAACTGACAGACTTCCCAAAGTGTATGGATTTGCTCTCATTCAGCTCTTGACTACCCTTCCGTCTGGTGGTCTCGGCGCGTTCGCCAACATCATCATCAAGGTAACCATCTGCCAAAGCAGCACAAGTTTAGACAAGCGAAGCTGACACTGCCCAGTCCTTCGGCTTCTCCACTTGGGAAACCCAGCTCCTCCAAAGCGTAACAGGCATCCTCCAAATCATCACCATGCTCACAGCCTCCTGGATCGACAGACGCTTCAAGCAAACCATCCTCGCCATGATGGCCGCCGTCGTCCCCACCATCGCCGGCACCATCGTCCTCCTCACCGTGCCCTTTGAGCACAGCAAAAAGGTAGGCCTGCTCCTCGCCTACTACATCATGATCTCCTTCTGGGCGTGCAGCGGCCTCGCGTTGTCGCTCGTCACGCGCAACGTGGCCGGGCAGACCAAGAAGGGCGTGGTGATTACGAGCAACTTCATCTTTTGGGCCGTGGGCAACTCGATTGGTCCGCAGGTGTTCCGCGCCAAGGATGCGCCGCGGTACTTTCTAGCGTTGGCTATTATTTTGGGGTGTTTTGTGTTGTTGGAGGTTGTGCTTTTTGCGCTGCGGACGTATTATGTGTGGCAGAATAAGTTGAGGGATGAGAAGATTGCGCGGGGTGAGGCTGTTGCTGATGCGACGCATTCTCATGCTTTTGAGGATATGACGGACAAGGTAAGTTTACGTTGTGGTGGTCTCTCTCATGTGATTATTGCTAATATTGTCACAGGAGGATGTCAACTTTAGATACAACTACTAAGTGTCTGATTCAGACATGTAGGTTGTTCAGTTGCTCTTCTATCGAGCGCGGTGTACTCCAGGTCGTAGAAACATGAGATGCTGCCAAGCCAGTATGATGGCACCGATTCACGTTAGAGTCAATCTACTAGGCATTCACTATCGTAACTCAAATCCTCGAAGCAGCAAATGCTTTTCTAAAACTAGTGGCATCAAGATAGAAATCACAATCATCGAATCCTTGGCCACAACTTGGCGAAAGCTTGTGAGAGTGTCATAATCAATCAGCCAACACAAAGTACCCGTACACAAAGACTTGTGAAAGATAAAGGAATGATTGTACACTGTTGTGGACATGTACCAACAGGGATCCTCGCAACGTTGTAGTCTTTCCCCTCATCTTCTCGACCAGGACCCCAGTCTAGCTTAATTATCCCAGGTTTTCTCAGCAAGCCCTCCTCCCCCAGATTCCCACAATACTCCCATCCTTGAACCCCACGCCATCCACTTCATTGGATCCAAACCATGCCAACCTAGGATGCCCAAAGCCAAAAGCCCGTTGTTGGAAGCGGGGCAATTCCGAGTCCCCTGTCGTATGAGCAAACATTGCCAGCAAACAGCCCGAACCGGGTTCAACGCCACAACGGTGCGTACCCGAGAAGGTCGCGTCTTTTCCCCAAGCACTCCAACTATGAGATATCCCGCCGGCAGACCGCAAATCTCCGGTCAAGATTGCCGGTTGTTTTCCCCTATGCCAAGTTGTTCACCGCGTGGGGGCTTCCCTCGGCACCGAAATCCCCAGCCAGTCGGGGAAGGGGACCGGGGCAAAAAGTCAAGTAAACGAGGAAAATCGGCCGGTTGTCGGCCGATGATGCGGAGAAGCTGCCGAGAGATAGAATTCCTTATCCTTTGTAAGAAAGCTGCGTGTCCCATGTTGTGACTAGCTTGTTTCCTCCACGACAGACGCTGGCTTCTGGGCTTTTACACGTGAACGTGAGAGCTTAGAATAGGCGACAAGTGTACATGCATTGAATCAACTCAGAGTCCAGCACAGGGGCAAATTCTCCACGATGTGTGGTCTAGATGGACATGGCGGGAACAGTTCGTGCTCCTACCCGCTGCGGGCACCAGTTCCCGTCGGGAAGAGAGCCAACAAGCTCTACAGAGACCGCACGGCAAACTTCTACTCGCCAGGACAATGGGAGAAGGTCAATCTGCTCTCGTACGTCTCCTCTCTCAACAAGCTATCTCATTCCAGCGGCAGTCACTGACCACACAATACACAGCATGATGCACCTCGCAGTCCGCTCCGACCCCTCAGTCATCTCCCTCACAGTATGGCACAGCCCAAACCTCACCCGCCCAACCTTCCCAGACGCAACAGCCTCAACAAACACCTACACCCCCTCCAAAATCGGCGACTCCTTCGGACCGTCCTGGTCAACCCACTGGTTCAGAGTCCGCGTCACGATCCCAGAGGTCATGCGACAGATGGACCACCTCGAGCTCCACTGGGACTGCAGCAACGAAGCAACAGTCTGGACCGAAACCGGGGAGCCCTTACAGGGTCTCACGGGCCGCGGCGAACGCGTCGAGTGGATTCTGCCCGAGGCGTTCAAAGATGGGGACGAGCATGTTTTTTATCTGGAGATGGCGTGTAACGGGATGTTGACGAACGCGGCGGGCGAGCCGATTTTCAAGAATAACGCCAACGGGGACGCGATTCAGCCTCCTGATCCGAATAAGATCTTCACCTTGACAAAGGCCGAGATTGTAGGCGTGGATTTACAGGCTAGGGCGTTGCACTCCGATATCACTGTGATCCACCAGGCGGCGGAGGAGTTTCCCGAGGACTCGTGGGAGCAGCACGAAGCCCTGAATATCGCGACGCGAATCATCAATGCTTTCCGGGTGGGTGATCGGGCTTCGATTGTGACGGCCCGAAAGATTGCAGAAGAGTATTTGGGGCCGGATGTCAACTCAGCTCAGGTGTTTGATGTCGGCACTGGTGAAAAGGGGGCGAGTGTGTACGCGATTGGGCATTGTCATATTGATACGTGCTGGCTGTGGCCGTGGGAGGAGACGAAGCGCAAGGTGGCGAGGTCGTGGTTGAATCAGTGCGATTTGATGGATCGGTATCCAGAGTTGAATTTTGCTTGTTCGCAGGCTCAGCAGGTTCGTATCTTGTCACTGTTCACTCTCTCATTTCTTCTGTCCCCCTCCTATTCACAATCTTCACATATGATGGTCACTGACGTCCCAAAAGTTCAAATGGCTCAAACAACTCTACCCGCACGCCTGGACCCGCGTCCAGTCCAAAGTAGCCTCCGGCCAATTCCACCCCATCGGCGGCTGCTGGGTCGAGCACGATACCAACATCCCCAGCGGCGAATCCCTGATCCGGCAGTTCCTCTTCGGGCAGCGGTTTTTCGAGAGTAACTTTGGCCGGCGCTCGACGACGTGTTGGCTGCCGGATACATTTGGCCAGTCGAGCCAGATGCCGCAGCTGTGTCGGCAGGCGGGGATGAATCGTTTTCTGGCGCAGAAGATTTGTTTTAATAATATGAATGAGTTTCCTCATACTACGTTCAACTGGTATGTTGCAATACTTTGGGGTTTTGGTATGGAGGTAAGGTTCATGAGAGAAGAGTGTTTGATGCTGATGATTTCTGTCTTTCAGGGTCGCTCTTGATGGGAGTCAGGTTATTTGCCACATGCCGCCTGCAAAGACGTACTGCGCCAACGCGACGTTTGGGGACGTGAAGCGTAGTATGACGCAGCATAAGTCTCTGGATCAAGACCACACCTCTCTCCTAGTCGTAAGTCTCATCTCCCAAAATCTCACCATCCTTCGCAGAATAATTTCTTCCCCTCAGAACCTCTCTACCCGCATGATCTAACCCACCCCAAAGTTCGGCAAAGGCGACGGCGGAGGCGGCCCAACCCGTCCCCAACTAGAATCCCTCCGCCGCCTCCGAGGCCTCGCGGACACCACAGGTCTCCTCCCGCGCGTCCACTCCGGCGGCACCCCAGACGACTTCTTCGACCGTCTCGAGAAGAAGGCACATACCTTTCCCACATGGCACGGCGAGTTGTACTTTGAGCTACACAGGGGTGTATACACCACGCAGGCGCAGACAAAGCTGAATAACAGACGGGCCGAGATTTTACTCCGTGATGTGGAGCTTTTGGCGACGATTGCGTCGGTGGAGGATCGGGGGTATAGGTACCCTAAGAAGGAGGTTGATGAGATGTGGGAGGGGGTGCTGCTTTGTCAGTTTCAGGATTGTCTTCCTGGGACTGCGATTGGGATGTGTTATGATGATTCGGATAAGGTGAGTTGGGTACTCTTGACTGCCAGGGAGGATGTTTGCTAACGAGTGGGTTCTTTACGTCTAGGTCTATGCAAATGTCTTTAGCATCGGGAATATGCTTCTGAAAAGCATCTACAGCGTTCTCAAGATCAACGATATCAGCGGCAACCCCACTGGAACAGAGAAGCTAGTAGCTCTCAACACCCTAGGATGGCCTCGAAAGGAAGTCATTACCACCACGAACGGCAAAGACCTCATCGCCCAGGGAGCCGGAACCATCATCACCACCCGCGAGATAACCCCATCCGAAACAATCAAACCCCTCGTCACAGTCAAAGAAGTCTCCCCGGGCATCTTCGTCCTCGAAAACAGCCACTTCACAGTCACCGTCGAAAACGGCACCATCACCTCCCTCCTCGACCGCCGCGCCGCCAACCGCGAGGTTCTGGCGGCGGGCAGCAGGGCGAACCAGTTGGTCATCTTTGACGATAAGCCGATTTACTGGCAGGCGTGGGACGTGGAGGTCTTTCACCTCGAGACGCGGGAGGAGGTGCGCGGCGGGCGGACGGCTGTGCTGGAGGAGTCGCCGTTGCGGGTGAGTGTTGTTACGGAGACGAGGGTTAGCGAGGTCAGTTCTGTGAGGAGTGTTGTCAGTCTTGCTGCGGTGGTTGATGGGAATGAAGGACAGAAGGGCGGGGCGGGTCTGGGTGTGGAGTGCACTGCTGAAGTTGACTGGCATGAGACGATGAAGTTTCTCAAGGTTGAGTTTCCTGTTGATGTAAGGCATCACGAGGCGTCGTATGATACGCAGTTTGGGGTTATTCGGCGCCCGACGCACTACAACACGTCGTAAGTCGCCTCCCCCTTTCAGAGTCATAAACCTAGTATTGAGATGTGGTAACTAACACGGGGGAATGTAGCTGGGACATGGCCAAGTTCGAGGTATGCTGCCATAAGTACGCAGACCTCTCAGAGTACGGGTACGGCGTGTCAATCCTCAACGATAGCAAATACGGCTTCGCAACCGTCGGAAACACGATGCGGCTGTCCCTCCTGCGATCGTCCAAGGCGCCGGATGATGAGGCGGACATGGGGAAGCACACGATCCGGTGGGCGATTTTGCCTCATCGGGGTCCGTTGGGGCCGGAGACTGTGAGGGCGGCGTATGAGTTTAATAACCCGCTAAAGGTCGTCTCTGCGTCTGGAGATTCTCCGTTGTTGAAGGTGGGAAGAGGTGGAGATGGAGCTGCTGGACGCTTCCCCGTTGCGTTGACGGGGGACGAGAATTTGGTGCTGGATACGATCAAGCGCGGTGAAGATGATGAGGATGTTGGGGATGGCGAGTTGCCTGTTCGTCCTGGACGGTGCGTGGTTGTGCGTGTGTATGAGAGTTTGGGGGGACGTGGACGGGGGAGGGTGGTGACGAGGTGGGAGGTGAAGAGGGTGTACAAGACGAATTTGCTCGAGGACGACGAGGATGAGGTTCGTGTAGAGGACGGCGGGTTCGAAGTTGACCTTGGGCCGTTTCAACTGCAGACGTATCGGCTTGAGTTGGCGGATTAGATGAGCCTTTGATGCGATTATGTCGGTCTTTGGGAGAATAGACTTGGTTTCCTGTGATCTGGGGGCATTCTTTAACCTAAACACATTCAGCAGGACATTTGTCGTACTCATGGCCTCTGCATGGAGGTCTTCAAGGCGAACAGCCTTTCGTTTCATGAGCAAGGCAAGGTCAGTGAGGGATGTCCATAGTGATGCATCTATTTTGGATCAAGATTGATCCAGCGTTGGTGATACATTCGCAGCCCCAATTCCAGCTGGCTGGTACGTCCCCTGACCCGACTCCATGGCAGCGGCGTGGAATAAGAAAGAAACCCCACCTACCTTATCCGTAATGGACGGCCCAAAGAAGCTTACGCCAAGAAGATGTAAGGGGAGCAAACATTCAATACCTACTTGCATATTTGTTGGATACACCGTACGGCGTAGTGTGCCGATGGAGTTGGAATAAGGCGTGGGAGGTGTCGCTGCCGGGTTTGCTTGTCACACGGCTTGTGTCGGGTGCGTGCATGGTGCACCCGGCCCCGGCCCCGGCCCGGACCCGAAGCCATGGACGCGGGTTTATCGTCCGAGGGGCCATGCCGTGTCACGTCCACATTCCCCCTTCCCCCTTCCCCGGGATCGACAGCAGGGCGCGGGCAGGTGCTTGATGAATTCGGTCAAGGGTTGTTTGTGAATTGAGGGACCTGTGATTTCGGATGTGATTTTAGGATTGTGGTATAGGACACTCGTTATCGTCATCGACGCATTGCACTATTGGAAATGCAGTCGTTGACAACTTGAACTGACCAGCTGTAACCAACAGCATAAGATGTGATTTTCAGCACCCCCCAGCAGGTTAGGTGTTTAAGAGTGGAATAGGGCCCGGGGTGGGATGTGATTGGTGCTACGCTGCATGCGTGGGCTCATTCTTGCATTTCTTTTTTCATGGCAGCGGGCGGGTTGGCTCTCTCAGGGGGCAGAGGCCCTCCACTGGGTACTGAGGTGCGAGAATACGGCGAGATTGTAGGTACTCGGTACCCTGCCCTGGTTCCAAACAGAGTTCCAGTAGCAACCAACAGGTGGGGGGGTTTCCTTCGTTTAGTCAGCGGAGAGTTCTTCAGGTCGCTGTTTTTTGTTTTCCCCAGTTTGGCCACGACAAAAGAGAAAAGAAAAAAGAAAAAAAAAAGAGTAAGAGAGATACAGAGAGAAGAGAAAAAGAGAGATACAGAGAGAGAGAGAGAGAGAGAGAGAGAGAGAGAGAGAGAGAGAGAGAGAGAGACAGCACCCGCGCAGAGTCCAGACGAGTCCACTCAACAGATCAGTGGGGGGAAGATGCTGAAGGCTGATGAAAGGGAGAGTGGAGGGGAAGAAGGGGGGACTCCCGGCCGTTTGGAGAGACTGGACGGATTTAGAGAGAGCTCCGGGAACCGCGTGATTAAAAAAGCCAAAGCTTCCCCGACGACATTCTTCACCAATCCAATCATCAACCTTGAGCAAATTCATCGTCATCTCATCATATACCATCGTCGGTGAAGTCGGTACATCTGCCCGCTTTTCTCTTCTCAGTCTTTGCTCGCAGCCAACAGCTCGCGGGAGGGCCCGTACAATGTCCGGTCAGGTGTTTGCGAATGAAGCGATCGCCGCCTCGCCCGCACATGCGTCGGAGGAGCCTCGCAGCAACGACACGACCACAATATACATCGACCCGCAGAGCAGCACCAGTGACCCCGTTCCCGTCCCCATTGACCCTCTTCTGCCTGCCGAGGACGTCGTGGTGGTGGTCGTCGACGATGTTACGGAGCATGCAGAGTCCTCTGACTATGCAGAATCCTTCGCGGACGACCTTGACATGTTTCCAGGCGACGATGACGACGACGACGACGACGACGACGACGCCGACATGGCTGTCTACGCCGCGGCTGACCGGCTTTCCCTCGACACAACTGAGGACGAGGCTACGGGTGCCCAGACGACGAATGATGCTGACAGCCTAATGATGGGTACTGATAATCGATCCATCATCACACTTGACGCTCCCGTATGTACCAAAATCTTGTCCCTCGCTACATGCCGGTCTACTTCCAGACACCCACAACCATTAACACCTCCCAGTCGTCCCCGCGCGATGAACGAGCTCCGTCGACGAGAACTATCATGACGGAGGATCTCCAGCTTTCTTTTCAGAAGCGTTTTGGCCGCACATACCCATCAAGAGGTACGTACATGATCAAAAGAGTGTCTGTCCATGAGAATACCCCCAGTCCTGACACCAGTCTACCAGACTACATCCTGCCCAACGATTGGGTAAGTCCTTCACCTTGAACCTGCATGTGATGTGTCTGCCTCTATGTAGTGCCTTTGGCTTACCACGGCTCTCTTTTCGGGGGGGGCCTTGAACAGGATGAGTGTATCCGTCTAGGTATGTACACGTAGACTCACTCCCATGGCATTGCCGTCCCTCCAAAGAGGTGCCTTGTCCAATAATAGCGCCTCCTCCACAGCTATCCAACATCATCTCTGGCTTTACACGTACAACAAACGCCTTGCCAATTCTCCCAAAAGGGAACGTGCGGCGCGTGTGCTCGACTGTGGAACTGGCACAGGACACTGGGCCTCGGATTTCGGTGAGGACCCCCTCTCTCTATCTGTCTCTCGCTTCAACCCGTGATGGAGTCCTGAAGCCTCGACTAACCAGTTGGCAGCCGACGATCACCCGGAAGCTATTGTAAGGCCTACCTAGCCCACACTACACCACCACCGCCGCCACCACGATCTTCTTCTTGCACAAGTGGCTCGGGTGAGCTTGTTTTGACTGCTTGCTAACAATGAGACTAAGGTCATTGGCGTGGACCTAAGCCCTATACAACTGAATGCGTGAGTCTACACACCTACTTTACCTTGCATAATCTTTTGGCATGGGGGCTCTAGCTCCAGAATGAATGCCTAGCTAAACGTCGTTGTCTTCAGTGTGCCCCCCAACCTCTTTTACGAAATCTACGACCTGGAGCAGCCTTGGCCGTGGAGGGAACCCTTCGACTTCATCTTCTTCCGCCACATGAACACCGCCTTTGCCGACTGGGTTGAAATCTTTGAAAAGGCTCTCGGGTAGGGACTCTCTCTCACAAGCTCATTCACACACATCCCTTCATGACGATGGGGCTGACACTGACTGACACACAAATACAGCCATCTCGAGCCCGGTGGCTACATTGAACTCCAAGACAACTCCTTCCCCATCATGTGCGACGACGACACCATGCCCCCCAACAGCGCCATCGCGCGGTGGTCGACCCTCCTGATGGAGGCCACGGAGCTCATGGGCCGCCCCTGCAACGCCCCCTCGAGCTTCAAGCAGCTGCTCGACCTGGCCGGCTTCGAGGCCATCGTCGAGGAGAAGACGATCTGGCCCATTGGGCCCTGGAACGCCGGCAACAACCACCCCCGCGACAGGGAGATTGGCGTCTGGTGTCGCGAGAACTGCCTCGAGGCGCTCGAAGCGTCGACGATGCATCTCTTTACGCAATTTTTGCACTGGTCCGAGGAGGATACGCGCGACTTTTGCAACGAGGTCGAGAGGGAGATTCGCGGGGGCGGTATTCATGCTTATTTCACCGTGTAAGTGGCCCCTTGTGGCCCTCTGTGCCGTGCTCGCGCGAAACTTGGACTGACGGTTATTGCAGATACTGTGTTTATGGGAGGAAACCCTACGCCTGACACTGGAATGGGGAGAGAACGGCTGGGAGAGGAAGAGGAGGAGGAGGAGGATGTGCAATTTTGTTTTGAATTAGATCTAGTCATGATACCCTTGGGATACGGATTACTGGAGGCTCTTTTGTCTTTTGCGCGGCGCTGGGGGGGGGGGATTGGGAGGTAAAATCTGGTACTAGGAGAGATCAACGGGGACTCGGCAAACTCCACAGCCGCGCCGCAAGCTAAGGTGTATGCGGGCCAGGGGAACGGGACGTTCATCCCTCCGTTCCTTGTCTTTGTGACTCGTGTACATACAGATAAATGTGCCGTTAAAGAAGCTCCAACGCGGGCAAAATTGCCTTGCAACACGAGAGAAAGATGACCACCGAATATCACCTCCCCCATTCGATAGGATCCGATGGAACCAACAGCGCTAAACGGGACGCTAAATCGTCTTTGCACGCTTTGCTGGATGGGATGCTGGTCCCCACCACCTGCGTGTGTGCGGATTCTGTTCTTCTGCAAGCAAAAAAACCGATATCCCCGGCCATGATTGGGCCGTCGCGCGCAGTCGCACGCTGTTCACTGGCGGGGAACCGATGTGCCACGCTTCTTTTGGCCGCAGGGGATTCGACTGGGTGGTGGTGGTGGTGGTGTTGGAGGTGAGCGGAGTCCGCCCTGCCTCCCCCTCCCCCTACCCCCATTGACGATTGAGAGGAGAGGTGGGATTTTGTGTTGGTCCTGTTGGCGCGTAATAAGGTACTAGGGGGCTGTCAAGGGTGCCAAAAGTGAGCCGAGATAGTCACATAGTGGGATTCAAGCAGGGGGGGGAGATGGAGAGAGGGGTGCGATGGGGCGATGCCGCGATGGGATAAGGACAAGGTAGAGACGGAGAGGGGGGGGATGATTTAAACAACGCTGGATCGCATCCTTTCTTCCCCCCTTCCTCGATTCCTTTCTTTACGGATAGTGTGCTTTTACTCCGTACCATTTCTCTAAATACGGACTGAAATCGTTACCGATTTTCGGTTATTTCTATTCTTCAACGCCCTTGAATCTATCATTCCCAGCCCCGCGCGCGCGAGAGATCAACGTTTAGTAGGATGGCTGACGCAAATCAAGCTCCCGCTGCTCAACAGCACGCCGAGCCCGAGCTGCCCGACGAGATCATCGTGAGTTTCTCATTGTTGTTTTCTTTTCCCTTCTTCCTCCCTGCCATACCGCCGACGATCAATAGCTCCTGGTTGGCGAATTATCCCTACAAATCATTGGGTTTTTCTTTCGAAATAAAAACGGGTTTACATTCACAAAGTGGAAAAGAAATCTGACAAACCACCTCGTTCTCTTCTTGACAGGAACCACAAGAACCCGAATCAGATGTATCTTCGACCGGCGGCACAGTAAGTTTCCCATCTCACTTGGAATGAATCTCTGGCACGAAACTCGCATGCAGCCCCTGGTGTGTGTGTTTTATTATCCTCTAGTTTCGCCGACTAACAAATATTTTGCTCTTACTCTTGGTGTAGTCCGTCTCCACTGATACAGACACTCTGAGAACGAGTATCCGTGACTACCGCAGGGAAAACGGCCGCACGTATCACAGTCTCAGCGATGGAAGTGAGTCTTTTCTCTCTCTCTCTCTCTCTCTCTCTCTCTCTCTCTCTCTCTCTCTCTCTCTCTCTCCCTCTCATAATTTTACACATGATTTGTTTTTCCTTCTTGATTTTTTTCGATCAAATTTGGCTGACAAACTTGATGTAGCATACATCCTACCAAACGATGCCGTGAGTTCTCTCTTGAAGTAGAGTCGATTGGCGTGCTCCCCTTTTGCGTTTTGGCAAAAGACTGACTTTTCTTTTGCATTTTCAATCTTTAGAGAGAACAAGACCGTCTGGGTGAGTCAATCCTTTCATCATAGCCTGATCTAGGTTCTCTCGCCAGTTGTGACAACTTGTAGCTAAATGTGTTTTCTGTCGATGAAAGACTTCCAGCACCACTTTTGGACGCTGACGTGGGATGGGAAACTCTGCATGTGTCCCAAGAATGAGGGAGCCAACCGTGTCTTGGACGTTGGAACCGGAACGGGTATCTGGGCTGAGGAATATGGTAAGTACTCCCCCTTTCTTTTCCATTGCTTCTCGAGGCGGCCACAACCCTCCCTCTCCATTTACAGAGCGAGATTTCAACTAACAATGTGTGACAGCGGATAAGCACACAGAAGCAGTGGTAAGACCACCCCTCTCCCGTGCCCCATCGCTGATTTGATGACGAGTATTGGCCTGGTAATAACATCCCATGTCAACCCAAATAGGTCGTTGGCGTCGACTTGAGTCCCATTCAGCCTGAATTGTGAGTAATCCCTGGAGTTAAGCAAAAATTCTCCTGCCCTTTCTGGGCGTGTGGTCTTGTCGGGGGCAACAGCGTTAGCTGATGCATCCCTGTCTTTGTCTAGTGTCCCGCCAAATTGCAAGTTTGAAGTCGACGATGTGGAGAAGGAGTGGACGTGGCAAGAGCCGTTTGACTTCATCTTTGCGAGGCACATGAACGCCTGCTTCGAAAGCTGGGAGCGTTTTCTCCGTCGTGCTTACGAGTAAGTAAACTCCTCCCCCTTCATCTCCTTCTTCTAATGACCAAACCCCCCCTTCCCAGCGCCCTAGAACCAGGCGGCTTCATCGAGCTCCAAGACAACGCCTTTCCCATCCTCTCCCAAGACGGTACCCTCAAGCCCGACGACCCGATGGCGCGCTGGTCGACCCTCATGATGGAGGGCACCGAACTCATCGGCCGCCCCATCACCGTCCCTGCGCGCTTCCGCTCCTTGCTCAACGAGGCCGGCTTCGTCGACGTGGTGGAGCACAAGCGCGTGTGGCCGACGAGCCCCTGGCCCCTGAACCCGGAGCTGCGGGAGCTCGGCGTCTGGGGCCAGGCGTGTAGTCTCGAGGGGATCGAGCCGGGTGCCATGGCGCTGTTTACGCGCGTGCTGGGGTGGACGAGGGAGGAGGTTATTGTGTTTATGTCGGGTGTGAGGGATGATTTTAAGAATACTGGTATTCACGGGTTTTGGAATGTGTGAGTTTTGTTCTCTGCTTCTTCTGTTTTTTTGCTTTTTTGTGGTGGGGGGGGTTCCCCTTTTCTACTCTGCTCAACGCTGGATGTTTGTGTTTGTGGAAGATGATCAGAGCTAATCTTTTATCTTAGGTACTCCGTGTATGGAATGAAGCCTTATGACAAACCTGACCAGGAGTAAAGTAGCTATCTAGACTCTCAGGAGCCAGTGAAATCAGACAAGTTCTTCTTGGTGGTTCGATGTAAAAGTCATCCAGTCTCGTGAAGGAGACTTCCACAGCCTAATTTTTGTACGCGCACACACACATATATGTGATGAATTACTTAGACTGTATATTTACTAGAGTAAATTGAACCAAAAATCTCCAAGACTCTGATAACAAACACGATGGCTGTGAATCTCGTTCTCTCAAGTCAGCGGTTCCTCCCCATAACCTCCCTTTTGCCTTTAACTGAAAGCCATAAACCCATGGAATTCCACTATAATCGAACCCCCGAGGGCCCAACCTCCCGCCAAATCAACTCGCTCGCGGAAGATATCGGAGACCAATGCTGCGAGCCAAGCATTGACCTTCCTCGTCGGATGCCCACACGGAGGAGACCCAAAAGATAGAACCGCGCTAACATTGAATCCATCACCGTTTCTTGGCTTTTGTCACCAATCTCGTTCTTGCAGGTTTTCTGACTTGCCTCCAAGCCTTCATTTTTATAAGAAAATGCATGAGCCATCCAGAGGAAGCCAAGCAAGACAAACATGTCAGCTTCGTCGCGGGAAACTTTGAGAGCCTCTTGGAGTCGTCGACTGTCGAGGCGACAAAAGCAAGCGTGTGATGGATATGACCTGTGTGGACGCCACTTTGTTGCAGCAAGCAAGGCCTCGATATCCATTGTCCGTGAGTCGAACGCCAAGTCAAACAAAGTCGATTGTCCTAGTTAACGGAAGCGTTTGCTTAATTGAGTCTCTTTTGGAGGTCGACTCGGCCTCTTACCCTCTTATGCGACCCCCATCCCTTTGGCGGCAACCCATTGTCGGCCTTGGATGTGTACGTATGATGGTGGATTCTAACAAAAAGGTTCTCTGAATTCAACAATAGAACAGAGGACACCTTTTGAAGAGAACGTTCTATTGATGTATGCAGTATTCACACCTCGTTATCTCGGACAAGACTTTGCTCTTGTAATCCCCCATGGCCAGGTTGGGAACGGGATGTACAGCAGATGATTCAAACCAGGTGGACCAGCCTGTCTTCTTCAAGCTCTGATTTCCTTCTTCTCAATATACGAAGAGTAGAACCGTATTCATTAAGTCGTCGATTTGATAACTTTCAATCTGCGAAGCTCACTACGTCGGCCAAGATGCAACCAAAATTTCGACAAGAAAACGCTCGATCAATCAGCAAGAACCCCAAGTGAATGGGGTTTTCCAGCCTCCATCACCGTCAAAAAATCCTCACCGCCACACCACCACACCGGCCTCCCCGATCACTCACCCATCCAATTTCATACGCACTTCAACCCCCCCTTCTCCATCTCGACACTCCACAGGCTTAGCAGGGCATCTCGTGCCTCGGCTCGCATGCTTCCACCTCGAACCGCTCGCGGCTGTGCGCAGGCAGCTCCAGCTTCCACGCGGCAGCCTCGTCCTTAGCGTGCAGCTGCCGCTCGGCGTAGACGAGGATGTCGCCCTCCGTGTGAACAGCCATGTCCCGCCGCCTCTTGATGCATCTCCGGACCAGCCCCGCGAAGAGGGCGAGGAGGAGTAGGGCGCCGAGCGTCGCGCCGACGGCTATGCCTGCGACTGCGGTGCTTGAGAGTTGGTCCTCGTCGGTGGAGGTAGTTGATGATTGTGCTGGGGATGAGTCTGGAGTTGCTGTTGCTGTTGCTGATGCTAATGAGAGTGATGGGGCTGTTGTAGTGGCTGATGGTGTTGTTGATGATGATGTTGATGTTGATGTTGACGTGCTGTCGGGCTCGGTGATGTTGAAGTAGTGAGATGTCGCGCTGCTGCCCGACTGTCCCGTCTTGAAGAACTGGAGGAAGTAGACCTGGCTCAGGTCCGGGTTCATTGTTGAAGGGAAACCGGCGTAGCCTACGGTCCATACTAGGCTCTTTGCTGTGGAATTGGCTTTGCAATAGTGTCAGGCGCAATCTCTGAGGTGTAATCCTATAGCAGGGAACTTACATGCGAGCTTGGCATAGGGCCCCTTGATATTCCCCGTTGGCTGCTGCTGCCATAAGATCAGGTCGATGTTCTTGAGGTCCATCTCCCACTGCAAATCAATATTATCGCCGAGGGTGTAGACGGGGTTATCCCGGAAGTCTCCCGCCGGACCTGGGCCCGACGGCCGGCGGAAGCGGTTCTCTGAGCGCGCGCATGCCGAGAAGGCGACACCGAAGAGAAGTACCGTGAGTTTGTGCATCACGAACGCCGGGAGTGGTTATCCGATAATATCCTTGTCGTCTATATCCAAGTGAATAGGCTGAACGGAGACTGGGCAATCGAGGAAAGGTGAAGCCATCTCTGTCGTGGGTCGCAACGAAGGGGGCACATTGTGTTTTTGCTCAGTTTGATTGCTTCCATTGCAAAACGGTTGCCCTGCCCCCCACCTCGACTGTGCGCGATGGAGGGATGAGGTTCTCATTTCAAACGTCCTAGCGATGGATCTAGTCAGCGTTGACCTAAACAGTAGTGCCGTTTCGGAGAGTCGAAACGTTGAAGCCTAGGCGCCACTCGATCCGCCTGCTATTTGTGCACTGCTAATACGAGGTCAGTTCTGTTAATAATCCAGAATGATGTTCGAGAAGATGTTATCGGAGACAGATGAATTTGCGTGGCTTGAGTATTAGTCCCGAGACGTACCGAACGGACTGTGGTGTTGCGATGCATCGTTAGACTCACCAGGCCCAGTGCCCATGAACCAAGCCTTTTTGCACCGGAAAAAAGTGTGGATTGAGCGCTTCCGGTCATGATAAACAGAAATATATAACCTGATTAGCAAAAATGCAAAAGCTAACTTCGACGTTCAATGACAAGCAGATATCCTCACCACTAGACTATCGGGGATGGGTGGATGTTAACATCCAGTGATAGTTGGTTGAGAGACCGCCGCAGAAGTGATCCCATATACCTTTGCCAGAGACTAGTGCCCCATCGTCACGCCTTTTCGCGCCCATACCATTTGGATCTCGCAGAGGTCTGTCTATAAGATGAAAACGATTACCAATTCTGTCCTTTCAATAATTTAATTGATTAGGCATTCATCACCACGGGCGAATGGCTCGTTGCTTTGCAATAGGTCGTACTATCCTACCCTTAATACGCCGCCGAACCCTACCACATTCTATCCTATTCTACCTATTAACTACTAAATAGCGTCACTACTTCCATCACTACATCTGTCTCTAGTCTTTCTCTAACTTTGCTCTTTTTCGAGATTATTCATAGGCGAATATAAGGGAAACAAGATCGGATTATTATATCATTTGCTATTCCCTTTATTAAAGTACGTACCTTGTACTGACGCCATCTAGCAGGTGATGGGATAGGCTGCTCCCCTCAATCGCCCCTCCTAAAGCGACATCTCTCCTTCTCATGTGTATCTCGATACCACTTCGTCGTCAAGACCTTCGTACAAGATTCGTTCCTGCACGGATACCTCTGTCTCTTCTCGCGATTGAACGAGCACCCCTCGCGAAGGTGTTTGTTGCGGTTGCTGACGCTCGAGAACGTTTTCGTGCACTGCGGCGTCAGACACTGTAGCCTGTCGCCTCGGTTTCGGTGGTCGCGCGGCGTCGAGCGAGATGTCGACGAACCAGCAGCGCTTCCGATGCTGCTGTAGAGGGGGTGAGCGCGACTCAATTGAGGCACACGGGGTGGACTGCGGCTTACCTGATGCTCGAAGAAGATATGTTTCGCCGAAAGCCGAGTGTGCTGAGGGACGAGAAGCTGCTGGATGGGGTGATGCATGCATCTGATCCGGGCGCTGGTGATGTTACTGTGAATGGCGTGACATAAAGCTGGCCAGCAGCTTGGCTAAGTTGAACCGAGATGCCATGCATCACGAGATACTCTGCGATTAAAGCACAGCAACGAAAGAACCCAGGAAGGGTGGTAGTGAAAGTCTCGATGATCGCGTTCGCCGATCCAGAGTGCAAGCCTAGAGGAATGTTAGCGTGCGAGCCTCGAGCGAGGGCGGCGTTACACTTACCCAATATCAATGCGAGCACTATGGAGAAAGCCACAGAGAAGAGGAGTAGCATCGTGGTAGACGAGATATCGTCCTCCCAGCCTCCATCGAATGATGAAAAAGGGGCCGGCAGTCTGGAGGTAGGTTCTTCAAAGCGTTCCATATGAAGAAAGTCCGCCCATACGAGACCATCGCGTTGGGTCGATGAGCCGGCATAGGAGTTTGGCCCTGACTGTGATCGGCCTGGTATCGTCTGAGCCTGACTGCTTGTCACTCCTACATGGGTTTCTTGGTTCTCGAACGCTCTCTGTATAGCCACAAGCCTACTACCAGGGCTTGATTTTCGGGACGGGATGGACTCCTTGCGCTTCTCCAGTGAGATGAGATTTTGCGCCAGGTCTTGGAAATGCGGCTGGTGTTCTGGGTCAAATTGCAATGGCCCTTGATCTGACGGCGTGTATGCCCACATGCGAAATGCGAGGTCATCGAATAATAGGTGCGATGAGGCGGGTAGAACGGATCGCCACCGGTCGAGGTCATCAACAAACCTAAGTCAATGTTAGCGTTGGCCTGCCTAGATGAAGGACCACATCAGGGTGCCTCTTACAGCCCTTGATGAGCTGAGTTGCGAGGAAATGGCTTACTGTGAAGATAAAGTATCGTTACTTGACAGCAACGTTAGATACGTGGCATTGGCCACGAGCAGTGCGTCAAAAACCTCGACAAGCGACGATGGCGGGCTGTCCTGCATCAGACCACGGAACACACCGAGGCCACGATCCCACACTGTGTTGGGATGGGAATAGTCTCCAGATATATCGCGGAGTTCTTCATGTTCCGACAAGTCACAGGACTGATGAAGCTGAGAGCACAAGGTATGCATAGAAGAGACCAAGTCTTGTCCTAAGAGTCGCCGGCGGTATCGAGAGCATTTGCGCCGAACGCGTTCTCTAGGAGCGTCATCCGCTCGAGCATGTCGCCGGCTAGTAGGCGCGCTGGACTGGTTGGTATCGTGGCTGCTGGCTAGGTTCGGAACTGCGTCCGTATGGCTGCCGGTGCAGTCAAGGCCGGACGAGACCCGAGGTATCGGGGCGGTGGGGATTGGTTCCATGATACTCAGATCAGCGAAACAGTCGAACGTATCATCCGGAGCGTTCGAACTTGTCATATCCATGAGACCAAAGGAGAGCATGATTTCCATAATCTCCGTATTCTCATCCGAAACTGCTATCGCGACTGCCTCTCGCAGCCCCTCGGGTAAGGAGCCTTGTAGCAGCATCGTGCGAACAATCTCGGCCTGCCCCCAAAAGACCGCCGCAGAAAAGGGTGTCAAGACTAGCTGTTCTGTGCCACTACTCATCTCGTTGTCGGTGTAGACGCCCAGGAAATTTGCTCCTTGCTGCAAAAGACTTTCCACTTGCATGATGTGGCCAAGTCGTATCGCGACGTGGAGGGGATCGTTGGTAATGTCTCGTAGGAACGATCCGGACTGTCCTGTGGATTTGTCTCTTGTTCTCGACGCCAAGTCAAGAACATAACGATAGATGTCTAGTCGGCCTCTATCGAGCAACTCGAGGAGTAAGTCAGGATTTGTCTCCCACTCGACTTCACCGGTGCGGACAACGGGTTCGCACAGATCGTGCAAGGCAGTAAGGTCGCCAGTAAGAGCAAGCTGGGTGAACTTGGAAGCTAAGGCTTCGAGGAATACGTCGTCCAATACATCGGGCAGAAGACCTAGTGCAAAACAGGCGTCGAGGTCATCTAGACCGGCATCTACGCTCCGTTGGTGCATGTCGTGAAGCTGGCCGATAGACAGTATGCCATTCGATCGGTACACTTCAGTACCAATCCCGGCAAACAGGGCTCGGTCTAGCAGTAGGTCGCGGACGAGTAGACGAAGCTCGACCGTTGTTGGGTGTGATGGTGATATAGTCTCCAGGTGTTGTAAGTGGGACTTAAGGATTGAATAGTTTTTCAAAAGATCGGGTAGACCAAAAGGCGACGGCATAGCAATGGCAAGCGATTGCAAAAGCGTCAAGCTTTGATATTCGATCTCTATGCTTTTGGAAAGGCGGCTTTTTGAGATGGTAAAAGCCGGCTGAGATGCCGGAGAAGCATAGAGAGGCAGATAGACCCCCGAACCAGGCGAAACTGCTTGGAAGATCTCCCCGCTGTGAGGATGAAGTGGAAGTCAGCCTACCTGCTCTCGGGCGTGCGGAAGACGCACTCCAGATGAATAGTAGCAACAGTGCAGATGAAAATAGGACTTAGTGGTAGGCATCGTTGAACAGAATTTGGTTTTAGGAACTGATGAGAAGAGCAAAGGAAGCAATCCAATTTACAAATGGAACTTCATAATCCAGATCTTGAGACGAAAGCTCGGCGTACCTTTCGAATACTTCCGTGTAAGCGAAACAAGGTGCATCGTCGATGAAGTCATGGCTTATCGACGGCGCATTCGAGGCTAAACTGTTGTTGGGCCATGAGAGAGCGGCCGGGTGGGACTTGAGATTCTCATCAATGTCGGCGAGGCGGAGGTTCAGACCCAGAGATGACAGGGACGCCATCCTGACGGCCTAGGACAGCATTGGCGTCAGGCAGGGTAGGCAGAGGTTCAGGAATGGCGTTAAGCTTCTCACGCCAACTCAATGGGTGAGAAAATATCGCATATTACAACTCGTAGATATGAGGACTGAGATAAGACGTAAGAGTGTCCCGCCGTGAAGCTGGGAGATTTGGTGTTGATGAAGGGATGCCTGGAAGCGGCCCCGCGGTTGAGGCTGACATGGTGCTCCGGGGGGTGTGGTGGGTCCCTTGAATTTAGGAATCGGCGGCAGGTCACGCGCGGGGTGCCGCGGAGGTTGTAACTGGGCACAGGACGCTGATTTGGAGTTGCCGGTATGCGTCGGTATGCGCGTCGAGAAACGTGATGCCGTGCAGATACGCTGCTTCAGGGTGTCGATTGCCTCTCATTTGCTGGAAAGGTAGACTGGTGTTGACGACATTATCTAATGTGCCCTGTCTTGGCTGCCTCCATCGCGACATGTTGACGTTTCCGACACCGACGTTAGGAATTATTGCGCGCTACGATGCATAGCATGCGGCGATGATGCATTCTAGGCAGACTTCTGCGCTATCATGCATAGTGTACAACTCACGGGACGTGTTATTTGGCCAAACAGAAAGCCTGAAATGTTTAAACAGACAACGGCGCATCCAGTCTTGAAGACCTCAGATTATTAATGGAAAGCCAGAGAGCGAAGCTTCATCATTGATTCCACCGACTCGGGACGACGGCGAGGTGGAGACACCAGATCGAAACCCCAGTGCTTACCTAAGCCAGTCACGAAAAAGCTGACATAATCGAAGCACTTTGAGAGCAGACCCCTGTGGCTGATTTGAACTGCCTCTCATTGGCCAACGCCAGGTTAATTGAAAGGTCCCACGACGCGACTCGACGCGTCTCCCCGGCGCCAGAGTGCGCAGCAATATTCAACTTTCGTCTACCCTCAACACCAGGCCCACGCAAGACTTCCAAGAACACACATGCCCACATAACGACAAGATGTTGCGACACGACTTCAACCGGATCGACCCCAAGAGGCGCAATGTTGTCGACCATCGCAAGAAGCAGTTTGCTTCCCCTACCTACAAGGAACTTGAATACCCCCACAGACTCAGCTTTTACACCGACGCGCCAACGGCCGACATTACTCTCGAGCAGTTCGAACAATGGGCCATTGACCGGTTAAGGAGTGCGTCTATCTGTACTGCCTTTTTCTCTCACTACCACTAACAAGATCTTCAACTAGTTCTCGCCGAGTTGGAGGCATGCGCGTTTCGCAACAAATCGCCCCAAGAAGTCGCGAACCACATGAAGCCGCTCCTCGACAAGTACCTCCCGCTCGAATCCAACACCTCGCACTCGCCGAAACTCTTCGCTCAGCGACAAAAAGATCACTACAGCCACTTCATTCTCCGTCTAGCCTTTGCACGAACCGAAGACCTCCGCCGTCGCTTTACTCGCGTGGAGACGATGCTTTTCCGCTTGCGATTCAACAGCGACGACATGAGCGAGCGGGCAGCCTTTGTCGGTAGCCTAGATCTTGATTGGTGGGAAGCAGTGACGGATGACGAGAAGCGCGAGTACTCGTCCGAGCTGGCGGCCATGTCGCGCGGCTGGGGCAAGGGCAACTCTACAGAAGACGATACATGGTTCAAGGTTGACTGGGGCAGGGTGCCGGAACTCGTTGAGCAGCGTAAGGTGTTCTTGAAGGCAGGCAAGGCTTTCGTACCAGGGAGAGAACAGGCTAGCATGGTCAATGGAGAATTCGTCTCACGGTTGGAGAGACAATTAGAGGTAGGCTCTCAAGATGGCTACGTCTCATGATCAATACTGACGTTGAGCAGCTCACGGCACGCGCCCTCCCCCGACTCGATGAAGACGATCGTCTAACCCCGATCCTCGACCACCTCTCCAAGAACTTCATTACACCAGACAGCTCGTACAGCTCAAATACCGCCGCTCCGCCCGGCGCCGAGATCACCGCCCGCAACATCGACAACCTCTCACAACACTTCCCCGCCTGCATGTCGCACCTCCACCGCTCATTGCGCCGAGACGCTCACCTCAAGCATTTTGGCCGCCTGCAATACTCTCTTTTCCTCAAGGGCATCGGCCTGAACCTCGAAGAGTGCCTCGTCTTCTGGAGGCAGAGCTTCCGCAACATCACAGACGACACATTCAACAAGGAGTATCGTTACAACGTGCGCCACGTGTACGGCGACGTCGGCGGCGACTCGAACCGTCGCGGAGGTGGCTACAGCCCGTTCAGCTGTCAGAAGATCTTGACCGAGCACCCGCCCGGCTCGGGCGAGGCCCACGGCTGCCCCTACCGTCACTTCAACTTGGAGAACCTGACGACTCTGATGCAAGGCATGGGTGTGAACGACCGAGCCACATTGCAGGGCGTAAAGGAGGATAAGGAGAAACAAAAGTTCCATATGGCGTGTAATCGGTACGTTCCCCAGCTCCGTTTCATCCCACTACCGTTTTTGGCGACCATTGACTAACATCCCTCCACAGCGTGTTCGAGCACTTGCACAAGCAGGAGCTCCAAAAGGCAAAGGACGAGGGCGTGTTCACGTCTGCACAACTCGAGACAATTGTCCATCCCAACGAGTACTTTAAGCGCAGCTACCTCCTCAAGAACCTCGACAAGGCGACAGATGTCAAGATGGAGGGGTGAGCGTAGCCTGTGGCCTCGCAGTAGGAATAAACACTTGTGACTCGCGACAGAATCGCTCACGGCCAGCCACGGCCAGTGGTTTGAGAGTGCTCTCGAGGGACTTGGCTCAAGCAAGCGCATAGCTAAGCTTTTCTGCCACAAGGCTTGTGTTGATAAGCTCGCCGACGGAACATACCTGGGGGAGGGGCGGGAAGCGGCTGCCTGACTAACGAAGCGTGTGGCTTGATGAAAGAGACGGGTTCTACGGCGGTCTGGACCTTTTCGCCAGCAGAGCAGCAGAAAGCTGGAGGAACGCGGAGAGACGGCGTTGGATAACGGCAGCAAATGTCTCGCGAAATTACCATATGGCGATAAATCGGCGTTTACTTTTATTCTAATTTTATTGATGAAGGATTGCTTGGGCAGGGTTGCGAACGCACGGGCGGGAGGGAAATTTGAGGTTGTGGTTTAGGTTCGTTTCTTGCGGAAAGTGTAGTTCGACGACAGCAAGAAGAAAAAAAGCCATCCGAAGTATTCCTTGTTCTGAGTGAAAGGCTTGACATTTCCCACGTGTCTTGTGTCTCGTTTCATAGTTTGGATAGACGTGAAGCAGAAAGGAAAGAAAGCCCCCCCAAAGGTAGCCAATGTTTCCGCCTTGATCGGAACCGGACACTGTCGAGACTTTTGAAGGAAGCTCCGTCGGGAACACCCATCGGTCTCGTTCCCGTTCCCTCGTTGGGACCAAGCTCCATTTCTTGGCTTTCTCCCTTTCCCCCCATAAAGGGACAATCCTTTCTCTGTCCTCAGCTCACTCGGTGCCACGACGGGAGTTGGGTTTCACGATCATGATCGGACTATACTAAACTGGCGGACCATACCGTGATGGATTGGCTGGGGTGAGAACGGCAGAGAATGACTAGAAAACGGACCGTTGGTGTTTGGGTTCTGCCTTTCAACTCTCTTGAAAATGGACAAAGAAAAGGTTCTGGACCTCGGCGTCGGATTGTGACAGAGAGAGACATACGGAGACCACACCTAGGTCTAGAATCCTGGCCGGCTCCGCGCAGGTTCCCCTTCTACGCTACCTAAACCAGCACTTTGCCTGTCGACCTGCACAGCTGCTTGGGAGGGAGCCAGGGAGAGGAAACAAGCCTTTTGCTGCGGGTTGCGAGTTTAATTGGAATAGGCTTCCTGAAGCTGGGTTAGGGTAAGCGTTGAGAAAGGGGGCGTGCGTGCGGTCTGCTGTCTGCCTGTCCGTCCGTCAGTCTGTCGTAAAGTGCCACCTAATGGAAGCCCCGGATCCCACGGCAACTCGGGCATCACAAGATGCGGACTCGCTCGAGAACCCGTGGCGTCTTGTGACAGATTTATGGTTTCTTTTGCATACGCAGTAGGAGATGTTCGATTGCGCCGAGGGAAGGGGATCACGAATCTCGATGAAGGCTAAGAGGAGTGTCAAAAGGCGCGGCCCGGGTGCTAACATTCTTCTTCGCACATGCGGCAGCGCGCTTGCAGGTCTTACAGTCCGATGTGGACATTTCTCAATTTCCTTCTCGTTGTTCGGAGGCTTCAGGGAGGTGTTTGCGATGATTGTCTCTTGTTTGCGATGGCTGTCTACTAGAACGAGACGTGTGATCACCCGCTTGGACTCTGCTGCCCTTGCCTCGGATCTCCGTCTGGTCAATTGAAAATCGCGAGGCCTCCTCCCTGTAAGTCGGCAAGAAATGAGAGATCTGGTGAGCTCCGGGGGATGAGACCAGACTCGGAGTCCGAGCTGGAGCTGGGCGATAGGGCTGCCACGGCCGACGGGTGGTGACATTCTGTCTGGAGACCATTTGATGAGAATTAGACACCTACGGATACCCTAGGCCATGCTTGACTCTCGGTGACATTCCACTGTAAGTGTCTGGTTACTTGGTGCGACCCCAGACACAAGTCCAACGCAGCATCACAGCATTAAAACAAACTTTCTGCTTTGCATGTGGACCGGTCCAGAACGCCGGCCTGGGCCTCTGGCCCTGGTCTGGGCCGTGGAGCGGTCTAGACCACCAGTCTCTCTGAGAGTCTCCCCCCTCGATCCTCGTCAAACACCCCGGGCTGGCGAACCGTTACACGGGGACAGGAGCTTGTCTGGGGGATGAGCTTGGTTGCTGGCTTTCCTGCCAGGGCTGTTACCTCGCTCCTCCGGGGTCCGCAACGTGAAGAACGCGCTCGGAAACCGGTTACTGATGCATCTTCTGCCTGTCGAGCCAAGGGGCCCCGGGCCTGGAGTGAAAAGCCGGGTTTTGACGGCGAGGGTGAGCATGATGCTCCAGAGAGGTTCATCCGCCCCCCTCTGAAGCCGAAAAGATTCCAGACTCCTCATGTTCGCGATGCCGAGGAGGGGGTCTCGAATCCAAGGTCGGGCTCATCTTTTTTTCTTCTGATCTTCTTTGCCGATTTTCCACCATAACCTCGACGTGGAAATCGAGCTGAAGCGTGCATTAGCGAATCGCAGTTGAGGCCTGCCTGCCTGTCAGCAGACAGAAAAGAAACAGCCCGAAGGCGGCTCTGCTCTCTTGCTGCTCTGTGCCAACGACGACAGGTATTGAGGAGTGGGAAATGCGTCGACCTAGATCTAGACCTGGTGGTGTATATCTAGAAGCTATTCACGATGTCGGGGGGGACGTGTGTTCTTGACGGTGGTGCACTATTTCGTATGCAATAACCCACAACACGCCTGTTCCCCATCCACCATCGTGGGGTGCAGACCAAAAGCATCGTGGCCTTGGTTTCTTTCCCCCCTCTACGGAAATTCGTACCAATCTTTTTCGGACTCCGTTTTCTTGGGACCCTATCTTACCTTGGATGGGACTAGGGCGTGTGCTTTCTAAAGTGCGCCGCGGTGCCGCAACACAAAAAAAAGGGCTGGACTGCATGCACCAGAGCGAAATCAGAAACCAGCACCAGCACAAAAAAACCAGGGAAAACGGAGACCCCCTCCTCGAATTGGGGGAACGGTTCAACTCATGCACAATGAGGTCAGTCGTTCCCTCTCAGTCTCACCCCCCATGGCCAGATCCGTCTCGACCTCTCTCTCACTCACCTCACCCACCCGTCTCCCGGACATGGGGCCATGGAGAGAGGGGCCGTAACGTACGTCGTACCCCCTTCCGGTCGGTCTGGTCTGGCCCTTTTCTTTCCTCCTCGCTGAACCAACTTATTCAGCTTCCGAGGTTGACGTTTGACGGTCGATCAAAACGCTAAAGGGGCTGTACACTATGTAATGGCAAGCTGCGTACAGTAGTCTCGGACGATGAGATGAGGGTATCTGCTCACCACAACCCGGATTTCTTCCCCAGATGGGCTGTACCACACCACGTATGATGACCCCGGAAAAAGAATCAAGGATCTAAGAAAAGCATCAGGGTCCCCTCCCTTCTACATTTTCAAGACGTCTAGACCCCTTGTTTCTCCGGGCGACGATGTAGGGGAGATGGGGGAGTGTAGTGTACTGCGTGCCGATAATCCGTACCATCTCGAGATGCGAGACCATCCTGTTCTGAGCAAAACTACGCGATGCGAAAATGCACACCCCCGCCCACTTCACATAACTCGTTATGCCATCAAGTATATCCTGTGTCGTAAGACCCTTTGGGCCCCGCCGACTCTTCAAACCCCGAATTGCACCAACCTATCCTATCCTACTGTGCCCACGAGCGAAAACGATTGCAAAAGACTAGTGCATCACGGCCTGGACTAAACGGGCGCACAGAAGAAGATGTCTTGGAACAGCAACGCCATTTGCCTATGACGCCAGACCGGGACACCGGGTGACGAAATCCCGCGTTTGTTTGGTGTGTTAGTGTCTCTCCCGTCTCTCTCCGCCAATACCCCCAAGTTTATTTGGTGGTTCCGCACCCTTGTCCTTTCGGATTGGGGCACGTCAGCGTGCCGGTTGGTTGGTTTGGCACTTCGGAAAGGTGGGAGAGAGAGACACAGGAAGTACAGGGATATGGATTCGAGGTTGGGCGTACGCAGCAGTGTAAGAAGCAGAAACAGTTTTGAGAAGTTGGGAATAGTTGCATCTCGCTGGAAGAAAAGATCATCGCACAAACATTTGAACGCACTGCGTAAGTTGTCTCACCCATCTTCTCTGCCATGGCGATATTCAGCGCGGGGTTATGCCCAAGAATGAGTAAGGCATCACGGCTCATTCTTAGGCCTTGGGCTTTTCTTGGGCAAACGTCCACGGCATGGGCTTGCTTGGTAAAAGATGCAATGCAAGATCGACTCTCGAAAAGCAGCCCTCTGAGCCCTTGACAAATCCGTTGCCGTGAACCCGACTGAGTGGGTTGACCTGTCGTCGGGCACGACGCTTGCGCGGCGGCGCCTCCCTAGACACGCACGACTTGCACTTAGTCCCCAGCCCACGCGGCCGATTGAGTGTCCAAAGAGTCGAAACGTCACTCTCCAAGAGAGACACCCGACACCAAAACGTGAAGCTATTCGCGTCGCGAGGTCACCATCTTAGCTCTCCCGTCTCACCCGTCTCATCCGTACTGGCTCGACCACCATGCTGGGTCACGTAGGCACGCTTTGCAAACACCAGAACGCAACTAAACCCCTCGGCCGTCGTCATACGGTGGTCCCCCTGACGCTGTTAGCCGCGAACCCAAGGGTCCTTTTTCCACCCCTACCTGCTCCGTAAAGCACCAGCATTGACGATGACATGAACAAACGGCGTCACGGGATTCCTGAACCTCACGTCCAAAGTCCGGGCTGCGACGCCGAGGCACCGGGTGGCCGAGGCTGTTCCAGATCGGCGGACTACCTAAGCTACATAGCATTAGGTGTGAGGGTTTCGGGGAGCCAAGTGGAGTTAGGAATGCGATCGCGAACACGATGATGTGAATGCCGAGAAAAAAGGATCATGCCACGGACTCGGCCGGCGGTTCTCTCTCGTCGGCGACGGATCGATTGCCGCGTTCGGCAAGTTTAGTCATCACGCCCTGTTGAGAGGCTTTACTCACCTCAGCGAACCTAAGCCATAAGCCTCGGAGTCTCGGAGTTTTCTTGGCAATCGCTTGTACAGACAGCTACTGATACGTGCAATGAACCATACGCCTTGGCTCGAATCCCTGATGATGCTCCAGAAGCCAGCCATCTACTGTGTAGACTGATAAGAAGCGGTCGGGGACAGACCGAGAGAACGGTAGGACCACACTCTAATTCACCGGATGAAAGACGTCTCTTGGCGAGAAGGTGAAGGATGCCATCACCGTTTCTGCGCTTGGGTTTGCGTGATATGGACACCAGCGGATGAGAACCCCGGAGCCGATTATCCCCGTTCCGCGCTATCTTTTTCCCAGGCTACGGATGGACTTGACATCATTCTTGCGGCGTACCTACGAGATGCCCCGCCCGCCGCGCCTAGACTCTAGATCTATGGTGCACCAACGAGACAGAACTGCAACACCTCGTCGTACCGATGATGGGGTGTGTTTTTTCTTTTCTTCCCGTCTTGGTGCACTGTGAATATGGGCTTGGCCAAGGCGTGATTCCACATGGTAAGCAATTGGCATTCGCAAGCGCAGGCGTAGCCAAACATGACAAGACCCCCCTGAAGCGAAGCAGCAAATAAGGAGGGAGAATAAGGATTCCAAGAAATGCACGAGAAAAGTCAAACATCAGGGCAGAACCACGATTCTAGGTAGTATACCATGCATTCCCATGATTCGAGATCTAGTATTTACACCATGATGACATGCTCTCCCCCACTCCCACGACCCATTTCGTTATCATCCGGGCACGGCACGACTTCCCCGTGAACGGTAGCCGATCCCCCCGCCGGTGGGATCAATGATCTGACGGGGGACCACTGGCTACCGTATCCGATGCTATCTGCCGGGGAACGGCAACGGACACGGGGGAAGGAACGGCGAAGCGGTGCCGTGATCTTGACTCGTGCGAGATTTGCAAGACGGTGGGTGCGCGACATTCTGACACTGACAGTGCCGATGGTCCGTGGAGTAAAGACCTTGAAGAATTGCGTGGACAGGTGGAAACCGTGATGTTTTAATTGCGGCAAGTGGAGTCTTTGTGTGGTTCCGAATAGCATCATCGCGGCCAAGGAAAAAAAAAATGCAGACGCACGACTTATCTCCACGACTGAGCAGAAAAACCGTGCCACACCAGCACTGTTCTCTTTGAATCTTACTTTCTTCTCGCTTAATGATTTTGTTGAAACAGGACGTATCCATCATGATCCATCCATCAACCCATCAACCCACACGTCAAAGAGTCGAAAGCCCGCATTCCAACCCCACAATCGACGAGATTGCAGTTCAACGTCTTCTTGAAATCCTGGAGAAAACATCTTACGATGGAAGATGCATGGCCCCAACATCAGACCACCGAGGCACCCGGAGCGGCAGGCACGAGCTGTCAAACGCTGCACGTATGCGGCGCACATTGGAGTTTTCTGGAGATGCTTGGTCTATTCCGTCATGTCCGCTCCGTGGCAGCCGGAGCCGCGGGTTCTCGCGAAGTCGTCTAGGTGCCCTAGACCACTCATGAAGCGGCTCTCCGGGTGTAAAAGACGACCCGTCGGTGATGGTGTTGGTAACGATGATGTATTACATCGGACGATTAAATCGTTTCGAGCACATCGTACCAGAAATCCGGAAACGGAACAGATGGTAAGATGAAGATTCCCTTGCTATCTGCCCAGATGGATGCACAGATACAGATGTGTAGATGCGCAGATGCAAAGCCAAGGAATTATGACATGAAGTTGGAAGCCGTTGTCCGAATTGAGAGGGGCTGCCGTTACGGCTG